TCCTCCCGCCAGTCAACTTTCTAAACCTGAGGTGTGTCAGGTCTGAATGGCATTGGAGCAAATGATAAGCTATGACTGAGGCTCTGTCGCAATTATGAGCTGTTTGGCGGAGCTAGTGTCAGGCCTAAGTGGTGATTAGCTTTTTACTTCCAGGTACTACGCGTAATCTTAGCATGTCAGTGCTGTTACTGGCTTTGTTCTCACGAACTGGCGACTACTGCCTCAGGGTTGATGCAGGGAAACATACCGTATTCAGTTTCTCTTGTTAGTGTGTTGACAATAATGCAGAATCGACTCGCTCTTGCTAGATTAGTATGTTCATCATGGGGGGTGATCTGGAGATAAGTACTCCTCTAGTCGTCTCGCGTTCGAGCTGGATTCATGGGAGAGGAGCCGCCATGAAATCACGATCCTGTTATTAAATGTCCGACATTTACGTTCCAGCCCTATTTTTTCTGAAGCTTGTGGCAGTGCTGGTGCGCTGACGCGTTTGGCAGTGCTAGTATGCTGAAACCTTCGGCAGTGCTGTTATGCCGAAAAGGTTGGTGGTGTTGGCATGCTGAAGCCTCCTTGTCCAGTTTTCAATCTGTCCTCTGATTGCTAATCGCCCTCAGCCGACCGCTCACTTTATACCTCTGCTCTTATCTCTCTTCGTCTCTCCCCCCTCTCCTTTAATATTCTCATCTATTTCCACCCCGCTCCTCCCTCCCCTCTTCCCCCATTGCCTCACTTTCCCCCAACACCCCCTCACACTCCCCACCCACCCCGCCCCCCCCAACCCCCCACTTACACAACCCCCCTCCGCCTTCCCGCATTTCCCCCGTCCCCTTTTTCCCCTCCCCCACAACAAAACTCCCCCCCCCCCGAGACGGCGGGCAGCATGTTGCATTTCTATGATGTGCGCACCACGCGCAAGCCACTGCGCCAGGTGATGGCTTGTGAACCGACTGAATGGTCATACAGTATCTCCCCCCTTCCCCTCTTGTTCTCCCCCACACCCCCCTCACCTCCCCCAGACGGCGGGCAGTGTGCTACATTTCTACGATTTGCGGACCACGCCCAAGCCCCTACTCTCCTCCCCCCCCCCCCCCTCCCCCCCCCCCCCCCCCGTTCTCGTCCCCACCCCATCCCGCTTCCCCCCACTGCATCCCTCCCCCCCCAGACGGCGGGCAGCGTGTTGCATTTCTACGATGTGCGCACCACGCCCAAGCCGCTGCGCCTGGTGTCGCCAGACTCGCCGCCCTCCCTGCTCGCCCTCAAGTTCCGCTCCTCCACGCGCGTGCCTCTCTTCGGGGACAACGTCTCCATGTACGTGTTTATGTCCCCATACCCTCCTCCTCGCTCAGCCGTTTCAAAATGTTCAAAGTGTTATTGGTGCATGTGCCTCCCGTGCTTCTCTCCTCCCAAGTTCCGCTCCTCACATTCTGCTGCTGGGCTGTCCCCCTCATCCCGTTCCCCCCTTCCGCTCCGTGTCCCTCCTCTTTCCCCCCCTCCTCCTCTTCCCCCCTGGCAGCAACGGCATGGTGGCGGACGAAGACCACATTCTGCTGGGGAGCGGATGAGTAGGGATTGAGGCAGTGAGTAGTGGTAGTAGGGAGTGATGGGGTGGGGCGACGGTTGGAGAGGTGTGGGAAGGGGATCATAGAATTGAGGGCGAGAAGAGGGACTATTTAGTAGTACAGTGGTTCAATGGACATACGGTGGTCCTTCTCCACTCCCCACCCTGTTTCCTCCTCACCCCGTTCCCTGCCCCCTGTTCCGCTGCTGCTTCTCTCCCCTCTCGTACCCACTCCGTTCCGCTTCGTTTCCTTTCCGTCTCGCCACCGAGTTGTTCTTCCCAACTCAGTCATCCCTACCCATCCCATGCCTGTGCGCCATTCCCGATGTCCCATGCATATGTGCCTGCCTGCACCATTCCCGATGTCCCATGTTTGTGTGCGCACGCTCGTCGCTGGCAGGTACCCATACGTCACGGGCGCGTCGGTGCTGTCGATGAAGTATAAGGACAACGTCATCATGGCGACTGACATCATGGGTGAGTCAGCATATGCCATGGGTGAGTCAGCAGATGCCATGGGTGAGTCAGCTGTTGTGATGGCTGGAACCTGCATGGGTGTTGTACCATGGGTATCACCGTCGGTGCTGGCGATGAAGTACAAGGATGGCGTCATCATGGCGAACAAGGGCGAGCCCTTCCTTGGCTCGATGAGTGGGATCTTTCGTCCTTACTTTCTTTTTGCTTAGTAGGAGCATTGCACCACTTCCTTTGAATGCTATTAGTCCATGCAGATTTCGAAAGTAACCGCAGAGGGAGTGACAATATCGAAGCCGTTTGCGGTGAAGATTGAGTGGAACTACGCCCATTTTCCGAACGCAGTGCCTGGTAAATACTGTGCTTACTGGTAGCAACTCAGGCCTCTTATACCAAGTGCATACATGCTTTAGTGGAGGCTCGAGACGACGACCATGTTGACGCTCGCTCATTTACCTTCCGCATACTGTAATACATTGATTGCATGATTGCACAGTAAAGGATTTGTTTTGTTCCAAACCGACTCTGACTAATCTGATTCAGTGAAAACCAGGTTGTGGTGTGGTGAGACATTACGCGAACGCATTCCTTCACGATCTTGCAACGATTAATAAGCCACAAGGTGGATTGGAAGACGAGGTGAGAGCTGTGGATCGAGCTTTGCTTTGAGTGGTGAGCGATGTAGATTGTTGCCAGGACAAAACGAGTGACAGACCACCATATTGATGTACTCTCGCCATGCATTCGCTAATGCAATTTCCACCACAAAGCATGTTGAGCAGTGTTGAGCCAGTTTCTATGACAGGTGAAGCCATACTTTAGAAAATAATGTGGGTTTATGTGACCACAAGAATCATATATGCCAAGGCCCTTAAGTCTTACCCTCATTAGCAATACAAATGTTTGAAGTTGACAGCACAGCTTTGTTTAAGCTTCTGAAGCTTGTAGTTTGATAAACTGTATCGTAACAGTTGACTTGCATGTTCGAATTCGTGTTTTCGCAAAAAGGTTTCCAAACAGTGGCCGCGGCGTGAACCTCGCTCTGCGGTCGATTGTTCAGAAGCTGTCGTAATCCGACGGCCAAGTGGTCAATCTGAAAATATTGATATGATTGGTTGATCAGTGAAAGCGGCGTGGACCTCGTGCCGTCGATTGTTCTGAAGCTCTCGTAATCCGACGGCGAGGTTGTCGATCCGTAGGTGTTGATATGATTGGTTGATAGTTTCATGGGTTAGCTCTTCCTCTCCTTCTCGCCCTGTGCGTTGTTCATAAATGTTGTCCTGCTTCGCTGTTGATCTCCAGTTACCGTCACAAGCCTTATTCAGCTTTCCCAAATCATCTCCCTTGAGTTAGTAGCTTTCTGTCGATCTCACGGATCGCTCTTAACGATACCACTCGCTTCGCGACTTTCGTCTCTCAGAAACATGTCAGGCCGAGGAAAAGCTGCTGGAAAGAAGGCAGTGAGCAGATCAGCTAAGGCAGGACTTCAGTTTCCTGTGGGTCGTATAGCCCGTTTCCTCAAGGCTGGAAAGTATGCCACTCGGGTTGGTGCCGGTGCTCCAGTGTACCTTGCTGCAGTCCTCGAATACCTAGCTGCTGAGGTGCGTAAGCTGTCACCAGTTATTTTTTCGTTTTCCTTCATTGCGCTTAAGTGGTCGTAGTACCTAACTTTTTGCCCGACTTTCTTTCCAGGTTTTGGAGCTTGCCGGGAACGCCGCCAGGGATAACAAGAAGACTCGCATTGTTCCGAGACACATTCAGCTGGCCGTGAGAAACGACGAGGAGCTCAGCAAGCTATTAGGAATGGTTACCATTGCCGCTGGTGGTGTTTTACCAAACATACACTCAGTCCTGCTTCCGAAGAAGTCGGCGGCTGACAAGGGCGAGACCCCAGAAGTTTAGGCCGACTAGGATTCTTTTTTGGCTTGATACGAAGGTTTCCATGCTGTACATGCTTTTAGGAATATACTGACTAATTTCAACTGTGGCCACTAACTAACGCAGTATAATGTGTGTTCGGCTCCTGCTGGATTATTCCAATGGGAAGTAAGAATTTAGTAACCTGAACATTTGGTAAATATATTTATACGGTGCTTAAGTTCCTGCAATTATCATAAACATATCACTGTACTGTTCGCGTTAAAACAACTTGTGAGGCAATCCTCCGGCCAGTCAACTTTCTAGACCAGAGAGCTCCTGTCAGACCCGATTGGCCATTGCAGCTAACTGTGTGTTCAGGATTTTTGTCGCTCGCGACTGTACGCCATTCGCGGGAACTTAGTGTCAGACCTAAGTGGTGATCAGCTTTTTAGTTCCAGGTACTACGCGTAATGTTAGCACGTCACCGTTGTTTCTGGCTTTGTTCTCACGAACTGGCGACTACTGCCTCAGGGTCGATACAGGAAGGCATCTTTAGTTCCTCTGTATTGTATGTGAGCTGACGATAATGCTCACTCGACTCGCTCTTGCTAGAGTAGTAGGTTCATCATGGGGGGTGATCTGGAAATAAGTACTCCTCTCGCGTTCGAGCTGGATCCATAAGAGAGGACCGCCATGAGATTACGATCCTGTTGTTGAATGTCCGACATTTACGTTCTAGCCCTATTTTTCCTTTCGACCGTAGAAAGAAACAGATAAAACGGCTTCACGTGGAGGCCATGTATATCGCCTACGGATGGCCGAAGGTTCTCCGAACGACTCGCGGTCCCGACGATCCAGTCGTCCACTTGGAGATTAGCGGGGGGCTGCTCATCGTGGTTCACCTCTCCTGCATTCAACTATGGACCTCCGGCCAGGTTAGGGTTTGAGAAGCGCCTGGACAAACATGCGTTTGAATCTACTAGCATTTGAGTATACTTGCTGCTGGACTGAATCTTAATTAGTCGATAGAATCTATTTAAGCTTAAGGCGCTTGCGAGGTGTGACGCAGTCCGCGGCTCGAGCAACTTCATCTGGACAGCATGACGGGATGACCCTGGCTCAAATCCTCTTCACCGTTTGCGTTTCAATTCCAGAATGCATCCGCAACCCTAATGCGCTGGTGTGCTTGCGATCCTAACTCTACCGCTGGTCCTCTGATTACCACCTGCCATTTTCCTCTTGCCGTTGTTGCGTTTTGATCGTTCCTCTGGTTTGATCTCGACAGCACCGCGTGAAGCTGGGAGAGTTCGTGCGAGATGACAAGTCGCTCCTGGAAGACGGTGGCAACCTGCACGCCATATGGAACGAAGCTGTCGAGACGCTCGCTGTGCTGGTATGCTGAGAAGCCTGGGGTGCTGGCATGCTGAGAATGGGGGGGTACGCTGAAGCCTAATGACTCGTCCTCAGTCTGTCGTCTCATTTTGAACGACCTTCTTCTTATCTGCTCACTTCATCCCGCTTTCCCCTCTTTTCGTCTCTCCCCCATTTCCTTCATTCACTCTCTCATTTCTTCTTCCCCCTTTCACTGCAATACCCCCAAACCTCCCTGCTTCCCCCTTCCCCCCTCCCCCTACCTCCCGTGCCCCCTCAACCCCTCCCGCTTCCCTGTTCTGACAGACGGCAAGCAGCGTGCTGCATGTCCACAAGATTTGCACTGCACCCAAGCTGCTGTGCCTGGTCAAGGCTTTTGAATCGAGTGAAGATCACATTTCTCCTCCACCCCACTCCACCACTACCTTCCCTCCCTACACCCAACCCACACCCCCCCCCAGACGGCGGGCAGCGTGATACATTTCTACGATGTGCGCACCACGCCCAAGCCGCTGCGCCTGGTGTCGCCAGACTCACCGCCCTCTCTGCTCGCCCTCAAGTTCCGCTCCTCCACGCGCGTTCCTCTCTTCGGGGACAACGTCTCCATGTACGCACCCCCTCCCCTTCCACCTCTCCCCCCCTCTCCCCCCCCTCCCCCTTCGGCCTCTGACACCCCCCCCCCCCCCCCCCCCCCCCCCCTCCCCCTCCCCCTTCCCCCCCGTCACACTGCCATCTCTTGTGCTTCTCTCCTCCTCTCAAGTTCCGCTCCTCCACACATGTGCTGCTCTTCAGGAACACCGACTGCCTGTACGCCAGGCCCCCTCCGTTCCCAACATTCCATGGCATAGCAGCTGCGATTCGTTCATGCTCCCAGCACTACCTCTGCTGTCTCCTGTGCGCGCCTCACAACGCCATGCTTCCTTCCTTCCCTTTCCCTTCCCCCAACTCCCCTCGCCAAGGCCCAGCCCCCCTCCTTACCTTCCCAGTCCTCCTTCCTCCCCCTTCCCGCTCTGCACCCCCCCCACCCCCCTCCCCTCTTCCCTCCCCTTTCCCCTTCCCCCGTGCACCCCCTCACCTTCTGCTCCCCTCGTCCCGGGCAGCAACGGCATGGTAGCAGATGAGGATCACATTCTGCTGGGGCTGTCCAGTGGTCGCCTGCACCTCGTGTCCTGGCGCGGCCAGGTGAGACAGGGAGCCGGTTTTGAGTCGACTCAAAATTAGTCGAGTTTCGAGTCGACTCAAAATTAGTCGAGTTTCGAGTCGACTCAAAATTCTGCTGGGGCTGTCCAGTGGTCGCCTGCACCTCGTGTCCTGGCGCGCCCAGGTGAGAGAGGGAACGGGTGGGCAGGTGGGGGGTGAGCGGAGGGAGAGATGAAAGTGAGGGGGGAGTGACGCAGCGAGGGGTGAGAGTGGAAAGTGACGAGGTGAGGGGAGGGAGGGGGTGAAGAGGTGAGGGAGGGGGAAAGTGAGGGCGGAAACTGAGGATCTCAATTTACAGCAGTGAATTTACAGCATGGCGCGACTGGGAGGTGTCTGGCCGCAATTTACATCATATGTTTTGCATTAATCCTCTCTGTACCCGCTCCTTCCCCCCACTCCCCTCCCTGCTCCATTTCACTACTCGCCTCACTTCCCTCCCGCCCCATTCCCCTCCCCGCTCCCCTCCCTGCTCCCCTCCTCGCTCCCCTCCCCAATCCCACTCTCTTCTTCCCCCTCTCCCCAGCTGCGGGGCACAGCAGACCTATGGCGCAAGCACAGCAGGGAGGTAGTCGGCCCTATGTACGTGCCAGAAGCCAACGGTCTCCCCAGCACGCCCCACTCGCCACGCTCCTCCCCGCTCGCCCCCTCCTCCTCCTACCCCTACCCCGCCTCCCCGCCCGCCCCCTCCGCCGCCCCCCCCGCCACCCCCAATGGCCGCACCAGCGGAGGAGCAGACCCAGGAGGAGTCGGGGGAGCAGGAGCAGGGGGAGCGGGAGGGGGAGCGGGAGCGGGAGGAGTGGGGGGAGCGGGGGGAGGGGTGGCGCAGATGGTGTATTCCCCCGCGCTGCGGCTGATAGCGGTGGTGCTGGTGGATGGGCGCGTGGTGCTGTGCTCTACAGGCGAGAGGGGGCTGAGGCCAGTGGAGGAGGTGACGCCTGAGAAGTGGGTGGGCGTGGTGGACGCTGCTACTGTGGCTGTCGGGGAGAGGCAGCAGCTGCTGGCCGTGGGTAGTAGACGTGGGACGGTTGAGCTGTTCGACCTTGCGAGGAGCTCTGCGCACCTGAGGACTGTGTCCTTGTTCGACTGGGGGTGAGTTGGTGGGGTTGGGGTTCAGTGGGGGTGATTGGGGATGAGTGGGTTTGAGTGAGGCCGAGAGGGGGCGAGAGGGGGCTGAGGCCCGTGGAGGAGGTGACGCCTGAGAAGTGGGTGGGCGTGGCGTGGTGGACGCTGCCACGGTGGCTGTGGGCGACAGGCAGCAGCTGCTGGCGGTGGGTAGGTGGTGGATAGTCGGCGGGGTACTGTGGAGCTTTTAGACGTCGCTAGGAGCTCTATTCATCTCATCTCAGGACTGTGTCACTGTTTCACTGGGGGTGAGTGGGTGGGCGTGCAAGGGTGGGGATGAGTGGGGGTGAGCGGGCAGCAGCAGCCATCAGCCAGCGTGTGCTGACCTGTTATAGGGAGCTCAGAGCAGCAGATGGGTTGGAAGCTAAGGGACCTGACACTGGTCTGGTTTTGATTCGTTTCGCCGATCCATGCTCCTCCTTGTCTCCCTTTCCCATTCCTCCTTGTTTCCCTTTCCCTTCCCCCCCCCCCCCCCCCCCCCCCCCCCCCCCGGGCCCCACCAGGTATTCACTGGAGGACACGGGGGCAGTGGCGTGCATATGCTGGTCGCCAGACAACCTGGCGTTCGCAGTGGGATGGAAACTGCGTGGGCTAGCCGTGTGGTCCGTGTCAGGCTGTCGCCTCATGTGCACCATTCGCCAGGGCTCCATGAGCCTCCTCCCCCCCTCCTCCTCCTCCTCCTCTTCCACCACCACCGCCGGTATCACCAGTCCCCGTAGCTCCGCCGCAGGCTCGGACCCAGCGTCCACGCCAGGCTCGGCAGCAGCCGGCGGGGCAGCAGGGTCGGCTACAGCCGCAGTGGTGAAGAGCAGTGAGCCAATGGTGGGGGGTGTGGCGGCTGTAGCGTGGGGGGAGGAGGGGTATCAGCTTGTAGCAGCGGAAGCAGGGATGGTGGGGGAGGTGGCGGCGGGGGTGAGGGGGCGGCAGGCGGGGAGGCTGGTGCAGTTTGCGTTTGCGCGGCAGTGCTCGAGTAAGGCGGTGGCGGGGAGCTCGCATGTGTGGCAGGCCATGGCTGGCTCGGACCGGGTGCTGCTGGTGCAGAGTAATGAGGAGGAAGAGTTAAGAGTGCAGCACCTTGTCATCCCGGTGAGTGTGTGGGCATTTGGGTGAGTGTGCATTGTGGTGAGTTTGCGTTTGCGCGGCAGTACTCGAGCAAGGCTGTGGCGGGGAGCTCGCACGTGTGGCAGGCGATGGCTGGGGCTGATCGGGTGCTGCTGGTGCAGAGCAATGAGGAGGAAGAGCTGAGGGCGTAACACCTGGTCATCCCGGTGAGTGTATGGGCTGGCATGTGCTGTCTGCCTCTTCGGGTGGGTGCTGCTGGTGCAGAGCAATGAGGAGGAGGAGCTGCGCGTGCAGCACCTGGTCATCCCGGTGAGTGCCCGTTGCGGTAGGGATGCATGGCCTGGGGGTGGGCATTCCGGTGAGTACCTGCCTTCTTTGACGAGTGGTTTAATTTCTCTCCCTCCTTCCCGCCTGCTCCCTCTTACCTCTCAGCAAACGTACATGGGGGTGAACTGGCCGGTGAGGCACGTGGCAGCGAGTGACGACGGGTCGTACCTGGCAGTGGCGGGGCGGCGGGGAGTCATTCTTCACAACCTGCGGTCCAACAAGTGGCGCGTGTTCGGGGACGTCATGCAGGAGCGCGCCGTCAAGTGCGAGGGGCTGCTGTGGGTCGGCAAGATCATCATCGTGTGCAACCACAGAGTTGCATCGCACTCGTAAGGCCTCCCACCCATAACATAACACCCACACACACCCTTGCAGAGGCATAGATTTGGCCAATCCGGCCAATGTGGGGGGTTGCTGTGGGGGTGATGTGGGGATTGCTGCTGTGCTGCATGCGTGCAGTGTGAGGGGCTGCTGTGGGTCGGCAAGATCATCATCCTCCTCAAAAGCCTTCCTTCCCGCTCCTCCCCCTCCCTCGCCCACCCAGCTACGAGCTCTGTCTGTATCCGCGTTTCCACCTGGACGAGTCCTCGCTGCTGTGCCGTGCAGCCGCCTTTCAGGCGCTAATGCAACTGTTGTTAACAGAACTGAGACTGTCCTCTCCCTCCCTTTACCCTCATCCGTCCACCTTACGCCCTCCCCACTCCTCTTCCCCCTTCCCCCCAGCTACGAGCCACGCCTCTATCCGTGGTTCCACCTGGACGAGTCCTCGCTGCTGTGCCGCCAGCCACTGCCAGCGCGGCCCATAGCACTGGATGCATGGGGCGACTACATCCTGGTGGTCTGTTCCCCTCTCCCCCCACTCCCTCCCCCCTGTTTCCCCTCTTCACCCCACCCTCCCAGCTACGAGCTCTGTCTCTACCCGCGTTTCCACCTGGACGAGTCCTCTCTGCTGTGCCGCCAGCCACTGCCAGCGCGGCCTATAGCGCTGGACGCATGGGGCGACTACATTCTCGTGGCCACACTTGCAAGAAACGCTAACCCTTTCATTATAAAAGTTGCGGTTGGCTAGAGGACTTATGAGGCGCCTGCCTTCCCCCCTTTCCTCCCAACCCCTCTCCCCCCTTCCTCCCTCCCAGCTACGAGCTCTGTCTGTATCCGCGCTTCCACCTGGACGAGTCCTCTCTGCTGTGCCGCCAGCCACTGCCAGCGCGGCCTATAGCGCTGGACGTATGGGGCGACTACATCCTGGTCGCCACGCCCCCCTTTGACATCAAAGTGTTTCACATGCACGTGGACGGGGACGTGTCACCGCTGCACTTACCCACCGTGCAGGTCCGTTGAGGGTGTGTGGGTGTGCAGTGTTGCACTACGCACATGGGATAGGTGAGTGGGGCCCTCTAGCGCTGGATGCATGGGGCACTATATCCTCGTGGCCACGCCCCCCTTTGGCATCAAGGTCTTTCACATGCACGTCGATGGGGACGTGTCACCGCTGCATCTACCCACCATGCAGGTCTGCTGTGGGTGGGCAGCTGCATGTGTCCCTCTTTGGTCGGGGCGTGTGCGACTGACTATGCTGTTCAACCGATCTATCCTCATGCACACATGTTGCGCTTCGGTAGGCAACCCACAGTGTGTGTGTGGGCTACTTATCATGTCAGCGTGCAAGCCCCTTGCGTCCATCTGCATTGTCGCCTCCTCGCGAACCTTCCACTCCCCCCCACCTGCTGCCTTCTCACCCCCTCCCTCTTCCCCTCCCGTCCTCTCCTTCCCCCCACCAGCTGCGCACAGTGAGAGAGCTATCCATCATGTCAGCGCGCAAGCCCCTCGTGTCCATGCTTTGTCTCCCTCTCTCAAACCTTCCACTTGCTTCCTGCCTGCTGCCTCTTCCCCCCCTCCTTGCTCCCCCCTCCCTCCTTCCCCCCACCAGCTGCGCACAGTGAGAGAGCTTTCCATCATGTCAGCGCGCAAGCCCCTCGTGTCCATGCGCTTTGTGCCGCGCACAGGGGACGCAGACGCACAGGGGGACGCGGACAGGCCGGGGGAGGGCGCAGGGAACCCATCCCGAGAGGCGGAAGGCCAAGGCGCCACCACCAGCAGCAGCGAGCAGAGATTATCCAAGGAAGGGGCGCAGCAGGGGGCAGCCAGGAGGGGAGCAGCGGTGCAGGGGCGGGATACGGGGAAATCCGGCAAGGGCAGCATTGTTAAAGACCCTTTAGCGGAGGCAATGAGAAGACAGCCCACCAAGTGCATGCTGCTGCGCACGGATGGGGATCTGTCTCTTTTGGACCTGGACAGTGGCAGTGAGCGGGCGCTGGTGGCGGGGGTTGAAAACTTCTGGCTCACGCAGGGAGGGGATGAGGCTGCTGCTGCGCTGATCGAGGAGGTGCCCTGGTGGGCTTACGGCCACAGGGGAATGCAGGTGAGTGAGGTGCAGTGCAGTACGGTGCGGTGAGGTGTAGTGTAGTCTAGGGTGTGAGCCCACAGCCCGCAGCCCACCAAGTGCATGTTGCTGCGCACGGATGGGGATCTGTCTCTTTTGGACCTGGACAGTGGCAGTGAGAGGGCGCTGGTGGCGGGGGTTGAAAACTTCTGGTTGACTCAGGGGGGCGATGAGGCAGCAGCGGCCCTGATAGAGGAGGTGCCCTGGTGGGCCTATGGCCACAGGGGAATGCAGGTGAGTGGGTGCAGTGCGGTGCAGTGTGCTGGTGTGTGGTGTCGCATAGTCTAGGGTATCAGCCCGCAGCCCACCAAGTGCATGCTGTTGCGCACGGATGGGGATCTGTCTCTGATTGATGGCGGGTGCTGATTGAGGAGGTGCCCTGGTGGGCTTACGGTCACCGGGGAATGCAGGTGAGTGCAGTGCAGTGCGGTGCGGTGGAGTGTAGTCTAGGGTGTGAGCCCACAGCCCGCAGCCCACCAAGCGCATGCTGCTGCGCACGGATGGCGATCTGTCTCTGCTGGACCTGGATAGTGGCAGTGAGAGGGCGCTGGTGGCGGGGGTTGAAAACTTCTGGCTCACGCAAGGTGGTGATGAGGCTGCTGCTGCGCTGATTGAGGAGGTGCCCTGGTGGGCTTATGGCCACAGAGGAATGCAGGTGAGTGCAGTGCGGTGTAGTGTAGTCTAGGGTGTGAGCCCACAGCCCACCAAGTGCATGCAGGTGGGTTCACTGCGGTGCACAGCAGCAGAGAGCCTGCGGTATCCCACGCATTTGCTTTTTGATTCAACTAAACATTGGCCTTCCCGTCACCCCCCTTCTCCCCCCCCAACTTCCTCCTCCCTTCCCATTTCAACAGGTGTGGTACCCCTCACTATACCACGATGCATCAGGCCAGCCAGCAGAGGTACAACAGCTGGACCCAGAGCTCGATTTTGATCGCGAGGTGTACCCACTGGGGGTGTCGCCGGCAGCGGGGGTGATCGTGGGTGTGAGCCAGCGCTTGTCGCTCTCCTCCTGTGCCGAGATGCCCTGCTTCGAGCCCACGCCCCAGGCACAACCGATTCTGCCCTGCCTGCTGCGGCACTTGCTGCAGGTACAGTGGTTAGAGTTGCTACTGGTAAGGCCGATGAAATGGTAAGACCACCCTGTGCTTGTTGCAGTTACAGGGTATAGCAGCAGGGTGATCATGGGGGTTGCGCGCTGCAGCGCCTGCTGCAGGTAGTGGAGGTGGAGGTACACTCTCCCCCGTCCTCTCCCGCTCTCAATCTCCGCCTCCCTCCTTGATCACACCCAGCACATCATCTAGCTCTCCTGTTGGCAACATCCTTTCATTTCCCCCTGCTTTCCCCTTTACCTTTCTCCCCCGTCCACCCAGCGCAACAAGATGGAGGAGGCGGTGCAGCTAGCGCACCTGTCTGCCACGCGACCGCACTTCTCCCACTCCCTCGAGTGGCTGCTCTTCACCATCTTTGATGCTGAGACGTCCAGGTGGGTGCAGAGCTGTGTAGTGCGGTGCAGTGCAGTGCCAGTTGGATCAGGCGGGCAAGTTATGCACCTGTCAGCCACACGGCCACACTTCTCCCACTCCCTCGAGTGGCTGCTCTTCACTCTCTTTGATGCCGAGACGTCCAGGTGGGTGCAGAGTGGTGCAGAGCGGTGCAGTGCGGTGCAATGAAATGCCAGTGGATTTAGGTGGGGCAGGTATGTACCTCTCAGCCACGCGGCCGCACTTCTCCCACTTCTGGCTTCTCTTCACCATCTTTGATGCCGAGACGTCCAGGTGAGTGCAGTGCGGTGCAGAGTGGTGTGTTATGGTGCAGTGCTATGCGATGTGGTTCTAGTGGGATTTGGTGGGATGGTGTGTTTGGTGTACCTCTCTGCCACGCGGCCGCACGTCTCCTCCCTCGAGTGGTTCCAGAGTGGGTGCAGAGTGGTGCAGTGCGGTGCTAGTGGGATCAGTTTGTGCAGTTACACCTGTTAAACCATTCGTTGTCCAGTGGTTCTTATATTCCTTCTTCTTCCTTTACCGCCTTCTGATTTTCTGGCTCTCCGAAACCCCCCACCCCTTCCTCGTCAACCCCCTTCTCCCTCCTTCCCTACCCTTTCCCCTCAACAGCGCGAGCGCACGGCGACGGCGCAAGGAGGGGAAGAAGGGGCCAAGTCTGCTGGACTGCGTGCAAGCTGATCCGGCATTTCGGGGAGTACCGAGATGTGGTGGTGAGCGTGGCTTGCTAAGAAGGCGAGGAAGGGGCGAGTCGGCCTTCAACGCGCCTCAAATATCCTCTCTAATACTCTCCTCCCTCCCCCTTTCACGCTTTCCCCCTCAGCGCGAGCGCACGGAGGCGGCGCAAGGAGGGGAAGAAGGGGCCGAGTCTGCTGGACCGGGCGTGTGAGCTGATCCGGCACTTTGGGGAGTACCGAGATGTGGTGGTGAGCGTTGCCCGCAAGACCGACAGCCGCCACTGGCCTGACCTCTTTGCCTCTGCTGGCAATTCCAACACGTGAGGCCCTGGGGTTCAATCGTGTGGGGGGGCGGTGATGGGAGCCAAGAGAAGGTGGGGTGCGAGGTGAGGCGGTGCGTTGGGGAGTACCGAGATGTGGTGGTGAGCGTGGCGCGCAAGACTGACAGCCGCCACTGGCCCGACCTCTGTGCATCTGCAGGCAACTCGAACACGTGAGGCTCGGGGTTCTAACGCATGAGAGAGGGCTTGGGGCTTTGGGCATGTGGTAGGCTTGGGGAATCTGAACACACGTTAGAGGGGTCGGGGAATCAAACACTGTGGAACTTTGGAACAATCAAGCTCTGGGGGATAAGTAAAAATCGGGGAATGATGGGAGGAAACAAAGGGTGGTTGTGAGTCGATTTGACATGCTTTTTGGCATGATTCATGGCCATGATAACCTTTCCTGTTCGCCGTGATTCATTGCAGATTGTGCTCGTTCCGGTTCCCTGCACTTCGTCCCCTGCTTTCTTTCCCCTGCACTGTGTGTGTGGCACTATCACTGCTTTCTTTCCCCTGCACTGCACTGCATGCACATGATAGGCTCTTTGAGGAGTGTTTCGAGAACAAGCAATATCGCACCGCCACGTGCTACATCCTGGTACGTGCGCATGCCATGCCTTCGCTTGCACGTCCTTGCCGTTGGTACTGTCTCCTTCTGTGCGTCCTCAATGGGTGGTGATGAATTTCCAAGGCCTAACAATCAGCCAATCAAGTACCCTTCTCACCTCCTTGTTTCCTTCTGCTTCTCCCATTTACTATGCTCCTCCCTGGCGCCTCTCTCGTTCCCCCCATCAGGTGGTGGAGAAACTAGAAGGCCCAACAATCGGTCAGCAAAGTGCCCTGCGGCTCTTGCAGGTTCGGCCCTTCCCGCGCTTGCTTGCCCCCCCCCCTCGCCTGCTTGCGCTTCCTCTCCTTGCCCTTCCCACTCTGCGTGTCCTCTCATCCCTGCAAAGTTCCTTTCCTGTGGGAGTTTTGTCGGTAGTGCAGTTGCAGCTGTCTGGCGCCCTCCTTGCTGACTCACAGCTTGTAGTGTGTGTGTGTGTGTGTGTGTGTGTGTGCGTGTGCGTGTGCGTGTGCGTGTGCGTGTGCGTGTGTGTGTGTGTGTGTGTGTGTGTGTGTCTGTGTGTGTGTGTGTGTGTGTGTGTGTGTGTGAGTGTGCGTGTGTGTGTGTTGGTGTGTGTGTGCGTGTGTGTGCATGTGTGTATACGTTCATGCATCCTTATGACTCCACAGGTGGCATTGCAAGAGTCTATGTACGACTTGGCAGGCGAGCTGGTAAGCCCACAATTACATGCATGCTGTGTGCATGTGTGACTAGCATTGTGTGCATTGCATATGTCCATGCAGTGCAGGTATATGCGTGCTTACATATCATATGTACAGGTGGCATTGCAAGTGTCTATGTACGACCTGGCAGGCGAGCTGGCAAGCCCACTTAACGTGCATTTCTGCTTCCTGCTCACAACCCCCACCTCTCCCCCCTCCTCCTTCCTCCTTTCCCTCCGTGTTTTCCAACCCTCCCCTCTATCTGCTAGCCTGTGACACTATTCTGAGAGGGTTGGAGAATTTAGCATTTCTGCGTTCTGCTCAGCACTCCCCCACCTCTCCCCGCTTCCTCCTTCCCCCCTTTCCTCCCTCCGTGTTTTCCAACCCTCCCCTCTTTTTGGTGGCCTTCGACACAATTTTGATGCCTTTGCTGCATCCTTTTGAGTGTCTTTTCTGCGTGTCCTGTGTTTCGTGTCCCGGTTTCCCCTTGCTTCATTCTGAATGGCAGGTGCGCTTCCTGCTGAGGTCGGGGAGGGAGTACAGCCAAGCAGAGCAGGAAGACGAGAGGGCGAGCGAGAGTCTGCTAAAGAGCTTCTTCTCCTTCGGCTTCACCTCCACGTGAGTCCTCCCCTCGCTGCTCGCACTTGAGTTCCCCCCTCCTCCGGCATACCAGCCCTGCTCCCGTTCAGATTCACATCACATCCACGCGAGTGCCCATCCGCTGTTCCACATCGTCAGCTCCCCCCACCTCCTGTCCTGTCTGCCTGCCCCACATGACTCCTCCATCCTCCCCTGCCTTCCTCACATAACCGCCCGTCATCCCCACCCTCCGTCCGCCCCTCTACCCCTCCTTTTTGAAACAGAGCCCCCAAGGCGCGGGGGGACGTGCTACACACGGACGGTGAAGCACATACTGGGGGAGAAGGCCACTGCTCTCATGAGCAGCAAGGAGCTCCGGCAGCTCGTGGCGATTCCACCCTGCCCTCACGTCTCAGTTTGCTTCCCCTTCCCTTTCCCCTCCCCTTCTGACACAGAGCCCCCAAGGCGAGAGGGGATGTGTTGCACACGACAGTGAAGCACATACTGGGCGAGAAGGCAATGGCACACCCTTTTGAACCCACCTTTCTTCCTTCTTCCCTCCTCCCCCATCCTTCTCTGGATCAGAGCCCCCAAGGCGAGAGGTGATGTGTTGCACACGACAGTGAAGCACATTCTGGGGGAGAAGGCAACGGCACTCATGAGCAGCAAGGAGCTCCGGCAGCTCGTGGCATTCGTTAAAGGCACCCAGTTTGACTTCACTGTAAGGGGTGTGATGTATTCTATATGTCTATCTATCTATACTTCACTGGTTATTTCTCTGCCATACCCTGCCATTCACCAGCACACGCACCAACATCACATGTAACCAATGTATTCCCCATGTAACAAAGTATTCCCCATGTAACCCATGTATTCCCCATGTAACAAAGTATTCCCCATGTAACCCATGTATTCCCCATGTAACAAAGTATTCCCCATGTAACCCATGTATTCCCCATGTAACAAAGTATTCCCCATGTAACCAATGTATTCCCCATGTAACAAAGTATTCCCCATGTAACCCATGTATTCCCCATGTAACAAAGTATTCCCCATGTAACAAAGTATTCCCCATGTAACCCATGTATTCCCCATGTCGCGGCCCTACCAGGAGTTTCTGCGGTCGGATCGAGGCAGGTCCATTCGTCTTGAAGACTTCCCCACTGCCCTTCGCACCATCCGCTACAAGGTACAGTTGTTGCAGCAGCAGAGTTAGGGAAGAGGTTAGGGGAGGGCCAACGGGGAGGGAGGGGAACGGGCGGATTGTGGCAGGTCCATTCGCCTAGAGGACTTCCCCACTGCCCTTCGCACCATTCGTTACAAGGTAGGACTCGTTTTTGCAGCAGCAGAAGTAGGGAAGAGGTTGGGGAGGGCCAAGGGGGAGGGACGGGGGCGGTTGGATCGTGGCAGGTCCATTCGCCTAGAGGACTTCCCCACTGCCCTGCGCACCATCCGCTGCAAGGTAGGAATTCGTCAAGGCTAGGAAATGTATTTGAATTCGTTTGACTCCCTTTGTATCTGTACAAGGTAGGAATCGTTGTTGCAACATAGGTGGTGAGAGGACGGGGGAGGGGTGAGAAGAAGAGGGGCGAGAGGGGATGGGGCGAGTGGAGGAGGGGCGAGAGGGGATGAGGCATGTAAGTTTCTACTCTGCTGATCATACACGTGAAGTTATATCTTGCCATTTTTATTCGGCTATTGTATAATTTGTTAGGAGGAAGTCGGGAGGGAAGGAATTCGTTTGTGCAACTTGCAGCTTAAGCAGTACAGTGAATGGTTTATGTCTGCCTGTTACGATTCTGTCAATGTGGCACCATTCCTATTTAGTGTGCACTCCTTCAATGTCCCCTCTCCCCTCTTCATTCTCCCTCGTCCCTCTCGCTTCCCTTCTCAGATCGCTCTAGAGGGCAATCTACAGAGCAGGCTGGATGCAGAGTTCCTATTGGCCCACGTGCGCACCGTGGGCTTCCATGAGTGGACCGTCGTGCTCGCCACGCTGCTGCAGCACTCCGAGGTGAGATAGAGTTTGAGGATAAAGGTCAATTGTTGTGCGTGAGAAAGCTGTTCCTATTGGCCCACGTGCGCACCGTGGGCTTCCATGAGTGGACTGTCGTGCTCGCCACGCTGCTGCAGCGATCCGAAGTGAGACGAGGGTGGATGGTAGTGTGTGGAAATGGTGGGTATAAGCAGCACCGAACCCTCTTTGAACTGTCGCGGGCTTCCATGAGTGGACCGTTGTGAAGGGCTGTTGTAAGTGCGGCCCGCTTAACCTGTGAAGTCAGACGGCAGGGTGCTTTAGGTGAATTGCGCTCATGTGTGTGGAAGGTAAATTGCTGATGCATGCCTTGCTGATTCACCAGACCTCTGTGGAGGACGCTACTTGCATTGAACTCTTTCCAGATGCCGTGTTTCGGACGATAGCTATTGTTGTTTCCTCCTGTGTCCTTTCTACGTGTACCTCAGGTGCTGGCAGAGCTATTTCAGAACGACATGAAGCTGTGGACCGCCTATGTGAGAGCTCTCAAGGTATGTGCAGCAGCTGGTGCAAGTTTGTGTTGTGCTTTTATTCCCTTTTCCACAATCATTCGCACATTGTTACAGTTGTGCATACGGAACCAGGTTAGTTAGAAATTGCCCCATACGGTACTCCCTTCTGGCTGTCCCAAAACCAGGCACACTTTTTTGCATTGTGCTTGACTGGAGCAGCATTATGGTCGGCTGCTGGGGGTTTTCTGAGGTCTATCAGTCCAGCTCACCTGTGTCCGGGCTTCCCTGCTTTCTCCCCGCTTTCCCTGCTTGTTCTCTGCTTGTTTGTCTGTTTTTTCTTGCAGGCACAACCAAATGCATCACAATATGACGAGCTTCTGGCAGCGGTTGAGAGAGACCTAACAGCCCATTTGGGTCGTGATAATCCCGCTATATCGTCTCATAGCCTCGCTTTGGGTCATGCCACCTCTGCTCCAGCTAGGTGATTTTGTGCCGAGGGAGTATATATTGCACCGGTAGGTAGGGAAGCCAATGCTGATTACATCTATTATACTCTACAGGAGCAGGGTCATATGCTGCTAAGCTCATAGATTGCACAATAAATCCATGTATTGCCATCCAGGAAAGATATTTACAAAAATATCAGAAATGTAGCTAGGCTTGCCGCCTGGGCATTTCACGAAACAGCTTCGAAGTCAAATCGTAGCTGCAGAGCACATTCGGAAAAATAGGGGTTGAGTGTTTGGTTGGCACTATTTGGGTGTATATGGATTGATGGCATCAATCGACATTTAGGGTTTCGCAGAAGATGGGAGGCAGTTGCTATGATCGATCGCGGGATCATGTGATTGGATGGCATATTTGACCAGTCACTTTCAATTGCCCCGAATCACTGAACCCCGCATAGTGCGGGGCCTCGAGTCCGCATGGTGCGGGGGATCGGAAAATGGGCACTTTGCCAGAGAAAATGGGTTGGGTGTAGATTCCGGAGGTTGAAAACGCCTCCAAAAAAAGGGGTGTTTGGTTGGCATTCCATTATTGTTAGGTTCGGCGTAGTCCGCTTATATCGAGCCTTAATAGCCTTTCACGCGCTTATCATAGAAGGTTCCAGGGTGGTCGGTTCACTGTAGCCCATCCCTCGCCCCCTTTTTTGATGCCTGCCAAACCCGGCCCATGTTTCGAACATTTAGCCCGCGGTTACGCAGCTCACAGCAGCAGCTCCCCACCAAGCAACAGCAATGCGCCTGCCTTAGATTCTAGCAAGGACTTTGCCAACTAAATGTGTCCAGATTGTCGTAATTTTCACTACCGAACGTGCGTCGCTAGACACTTCACGTGCTGCGATGACTAACGAGCCAGGCGATCGGTCCTTTCATCCACATTCAAGCTCTGAGACATCCCTAAACTCGCAAGGAAATGGTGGGTCCGCTCAAGCAAACGCCAAGCCTTCGCGGTCGCAATCCCTTGAACCCGCACCTCAGCAGCAGCTTCGAGAAGAAAATATCCGTCAGGCGCTCGTTCTGGAGGTATTGCGCCGTCGCGCTTTTAAAAGCCACCCGCTTGAGCATGGCGGCGCCGCCCTTGCTTCTGCTTCTAAGAGCACTAGTAAAGTCCAGTCCCGCGCTTCGCTACCTAACGCAACGCAAGCGCTGAGAGAAGCGGGCGCTATTGACGCCGCAACAGCCGCTGGACGACATTCTGACGCCGCAAACTCGACTGGTCGACTCCGCCAGCTGAACCAGCTTTCGCCTGCGGAAAGGTTTCAAGTGGACGTCTCTCGTCGTTCCCCCCCGCAACCGCCGCAACTCCCCCAGCAGATACCGCTGCAGCCTCCGTTGCAGCTACCGTTGCAACCAGCACCGCTGCTACTGACGCGCCATCGCGCGGCGGCGAGATTGGCTCAATCTTCCCCGCTTTCGGTGGGTTTGACATCCAAAGCACCTTTATTCTCCACGCGACAACGTTCTTCCCCCCCATCGCCCGTTCCGAACGACACTGCCACCGCCATTGTCGCTGCTACTTCCGCTCCTGCTCCTCCCAGCGACAGTGCTACTGTCGCAGCTGCAACAGACGCGTCGCTGGTTTCACCATCAGCACTCTCAGCTCGTTTCCGCGGCATTTTCTACTCTCCAACATCGCAACCTAAAAAAACCACCGCTACCACCCTCTTCAGTGGCCGTACCGTGGACTCCACTGGCATTATCGCTCGGCCTCAGAACCTCCTAACCGTCGAGCACCGGGGCGACCCTGGTCCATCCTCGTTATTGATAACCCCGCGTTCACTTGACGCAGCATCGGCCTCTCTGTCGCATTACAGCCATCTCTCTCTCTCACCCACCAGCAGCCTCAGCACAACTAGTACCACGCTCCCCGCCGTGATTGGCGGTGGACTAAACCCGGCGCTATACCCTCGAACAACTGCTGCTGACCTTGAACCAGGCGTTCCCCTACCTAACATTCCCCTCGAACTCCCCCCTCCCGACACTTCCCCCCTTGACCATCCCCGTGCCGCCGGCTCAGCGGGGAGACCCACTGCCGTCGGCACGTCAGTGGCGGAAGGGGGGGGGAATGCAGTGGTAGGGCGGAGCGAGGCGGAAGAAAGGGAGGCGATGTGGCGGCTGTGCGCGAAAGAGATGGCGCATCTGAAAGCGCTGCTGCTGGGCGACGGCGGCGGCGGAACGCAAAGCGCGCCGCTGGAGCAGCGCGCCGAGCACGATGGCTCGCAGGGGACCGATTCGCGCAGCAACGGCGGCCCGCACACCCCCCACATGGCTGGGCTGTTCTCAGGAGCCGCTACGGTTCAGGAAAACCTGGACCAGACATCCGCACTACAAGCTACCCCACTGCAGCAGCAGCAGGAGGAAGGGCAAGGGCCTCCTCAGGCGAACGACCCCTATCGGTTGTGCTTTCTCGTGGTGCTACTACGGATCCTCTCGGGCACCTGCAACAGCAACGCACGGGATCACCCGCTGATCCAACGGCCAACTTCAATCGCCCTGGGGCTGCGGCCCCTGAAAAGGTTAAGGATACCACGGCGGGGGACACAGCGCGCTTCCACGTGGGAGGCGGAGGCGGGGGCGGGCGGAGCGCGATGGTTGTATCCGCGATGCTGACGCCCCTGGGAATCGTCGCGCTCTCACCGCAAGCACGCGCCAATGCCGCTGTCCGTCCGCCAGAATCTCGCTTGAGGAGCGTTGGGATGAGCGAGGAGGTGGCGGCGAGGGTAGCAACGGAAGTGGCGAGGGGAGCGACGAAAACGGCGAGGGAAGCCGAGGAGCGTGAACTGCGGGAGATTTGCAGTGCGCTGTTCTCCGCGGGAGCGCGGGAAGCGGATTTTTTCTTACAGGGTGCGCTGGATGGGGCTGGTGGGAAGGGCGTGGTCGGCAGCAGCTCAGGCTGGAACACGTCAAGGGACGCCGCACTCCCGCCGCAGCACGCAACTCCGCAGCACAAGCTTCTCCGCGACCAAGGCCCACTGCAGAAGACGATGACCACCGAGCAGGAGATAATCAAGACGATGCCATTCCAAGACGTGTTAGCGGCAGCGGCAACTCAAGCAACGGCTCTGGAGGCCCCGCAAGGTGCGGCGCTGACCCCGCAGGAGATGATGCTGTTACGAGACGTGCTGGCAGCACCACCTCAAGGTCACGAGGCTGCGAGGTGGATAGCTGAGAAATCACCCCTCGCCACGCAGCCGTCGATGGTCAACGCGGAATCCTCAATGGAAGGATACAAGCGGCAGCCGCAGCGCAGCAGCGGCATGGCATGGGAGCGAGATTTTTTGACGGGAAACACAGGGAATGCGGAGCGAGGCGCCGTCCATCACACCGTCGCGCAGCTTGGAGCCGTGGTGGCTGGGTCGTCTGGCTACGGACTCGCAGCAGCCGCGGAAACCGCAGCAGCAGGCGCAGCTGCCGCAGCAGCAGGCACTCAGCTCTCCTTCAACCCATATAGCAACAGCAGATGTGGCGGCGTTGCTGGTGGCGTTGCTGCTAGAGCCTCGGCACGGTGGTCTCGTACCACTGCAGTTGGCGCGAGCGGTCCCACCGTGACCGCCGTTGGTGTTTCTAGTGTCGGTGCTGCTTGTATCGGTGCGAGTGGGGGCAGCGCTGCAGCGCTGCTCCCTGAGATGCGGCCTAAGATGGACGCGTCGCTACCGTCGCCCGCCACTGTCGACCGTGCAAGTGTCGAGTCTTGCAGAGTGCCGGTACCCGTGCCGGCAGTAACCTCTGCGCTAGAGGAACAGAACATGCCATACTACCGTCCTGATTCGTCACAGGAATTTGGGGGGGGACGGGGAATCAGTGAGGCAGGGGCCGTGCCGCTCTGGGCAGGAGCGCAGGCAGTGTGGAACTCGAGGGAAATGGATCCAATTCGCTCTCAAGGCTTTCCTGGATTCCCTCCCCCGCCGGCCGCGCCGGCGTGGGATGGGTTGCGCTGTCTGGTGTGCGGTACGGCGCTAAGCGTGGAGAATACGAAGGCGGCCAGAGAGTTAGCCAACCACGTGAGGCCTCAGAAGGATCCGGGGATTGGATTGCGCGTCCACGGGTGTAACACCTGCCTTAGACTGCTGGTTCCCTTGTACTTTCGGAGGTTGGAGACGGAAAAGGCTCAGGACTCAGTTACTGATGTTGGTTCGCGAAGAGTCCAAGGAAGCGGTAATGGGACGGGAGATGCGAATGATGGAGACGCTGCTGTCGGAGAGACGCGAGAGGACCTGCACCAGGAGGCTGTTGGAGCCGCAGCAGAGGAGGCTACACAGTGGAAGGAAGCGGTGAGAGCACGAAATAGAGGCAACCCGCAGCATGAGGATACGCAACACAGACGCGACGTGCCGTCATCACAAATGGAAAATGTTTCAGAAATTGGAGACGATTGGAACATTGCGCCTCGGTGTCCCCATTCTCACTCTCTGAAATGCGACGTGCATGCGACTCGGCTTAGCGACGGAAAATGTGAAAACGCGCAAGGGCATTCGCTGTTGTCGCCTGCTTCTGGACTTCGTCGTCTGCGAGAGTCGCCTGATACAGTGAGGTCACAGGACGCTGAGGAGGTTGCTTGGTCAGAATTGAAACGACAGCGTACACAGTGACCACGATCATTGGCGACAATGTAGCGAGCCTTTCCCAAATGGTAACAGCCTTGTGTAATTTGAATTTTTGAATGTGATGACTCTTGCGATATTCGCATTGTTCTGCCGAAGTTGCTCACGGTTACAGTTTCGAACTTCGTTGCCCTACCAAAACAACAAGAGAGCCACCTCCATCCATATCGCCCACAACTCCCCGCCCCAAGCGATGCTGTGTACTTCGGAGCGGTTGTCAACATCACCGCTTCTAACCGCCACTAACCTTTTGGAGTTGTGATACGAGAATTGTGAACCTCCTCACAAAAGTCACTCCATCCCCAGTTTCCTCAACCTGCTTCTCCGGGCTAGGGTTTCTGATATCCTCACATCAGCTTGTGGTTTTCAGTTCACTAGCTACTCGCTTGGTCGGCTTCATCTCTCTTCCTAGCCTGCGATTCAATCATCCATGTCGCGACCATACAGTCCCGACCGCGGTTACAGCCCGGAGCCTCGTCGCGGGCCTAGCGGACGCGGTCCCCCGCCTGACAGAGACAGGAGCCGCAGTCCCCCGCCGTACAGGCGCGGGCCTCCACCACGAAAAGAGCGTGTTAGTCTGCTCGTTAGGAACATTCCGAGAGATACCAGGTAAATATTTGAATTTCTGTGTCCATTGGCTGTGTAATACGTTTCCTTGGGATTGGAATTGATGTTGACATTTGTGGGTTCAATTTTTCAGGCCAGAGGAGCTGCGTGTTCCTTTTGAGCGATACGGCCCGATTAAGGATGTCTACCTTCCGAAGGACTATCATACAGGGTATGTTGGTATTTCCATAACCCATTTGTTGTGGTCCTGTTGCGAATTTCATGATCAATGTTCGCGTGAGTTGAACCACCATAGAAAGCTTATGCTGGTTGCCTCGCTGTTCACACTTCAGCTTTTTCGGGTTTTTGGGAATTACGGCAGGGAAGGGAAGAGGCATTTTGTTGATTGGTCAAGCTTTCAAGTCTCTGAAGTTTCGAGGCTGGAAAGATGAGCTTGAAGCGAAGTGAAGCCAAGCGAAGCGAAGTTACGAAGTTGCCAGAAATCTTGCTGTTTGACGAGGGATTTGACGAGAAACCTAAAAAGGCACTGGAAGAAACGAGAGGCTTGCACAACAGAAGTGACTGGAAGGGACAAGTTACAAGCTATGAAGAGCGATCTGTTCATCTCTTGGCGATTCATGGCCAGTCAAGCTTGACTCAAGGACGCCAGAGGCAGGTTACATGTCACGGTCTGACATGTCAGGTCGGTCGTTGTCGTGTTAACCGTAATAGATTTCCTTTTTTTTCCTACATTACCCAGCAGACTATTCCTCTCTTTTTCTCCGATTCTCACTTTCTGTCCGTCTTCGTTTTCCCCGATCTTAATTGTATTATGCCATGTGCTGTTTGCAGAAGCAGTAGATGTGCCATGTGCATTGAATCTGTCGTATCATAAAGGTCGCTGACATCGTTCCCGTTGCTTCCGTCCCTCGTCTTCTTTCTTTGACTGTCGCAGGGAACCACGTGGATTCGGATTCGTGCAGGTAATGTACCTTATCCAGCCTCCTATCGTCTCTGTCTATGAATGTGTCTTAGTTTTCCTATTTTTCCTGTCTTCTCCAATGATGTTACTCTTTTTGGTGGTGCGCTTTCGCAACCCGGTAACCAGTTCGTGAACATGGCGGATGCGGAGGACGCCCAGTACGAGCTGGATCGGACCAACTTCAACGGCAGGGAGATCACGGTGGTCTTCGCAGAGGAAAATCGCAAGAAGCCTGAGGAGATGCGCACCCGGGAGCGATACAGGTCTGTTTGCCGTGTGGACCAATCGAGGAAGTTCCAATTCGCGATACGAACTTCTACTGTGTTTTTAGAGAGGGATTCGAATGGGTTGCTAAGTACGAGTCTTTTTATTTCTTACAAAAGATCTCTTTGGTGGTTTGTTTATCTCATCTTTTCCGTCAAACCTGCGTTTGCTTGCTGCAATTGCTTGATTGCACTCCATTGCATCTATCTATCTAATTCTGTTCTTTTCATGTGTGTGTGCGTGCGTGTGTGTTGGTGTGTGCGTGTGTGGGTGCCTATGGGTTGTGTGGGTTTCCTTTCTAGTTCTAGGGACCGTCCATCCTTCGGGAGGCGCCGAGGCTATTGTGAGTATTAATTGACAGGCCTGTATTGCATCGTTCGCGTCGCGCACGTTCTGCATGGATATTGCAACCGAACACTATGCTTGCTGCATCTTTTGTTAAATCATCTTCAAGCTCTCATTGTCTGTCATCCCCCCCGCTTCCTGACCTCCCGCTCTCCATCTCCTCCAACCCCTACTACTTCCGCTGTATTCGCTCCTCTTCCATTGTTGCACCCCTTTTCCCCATCAGTTGCATATATCTCCTTTTCTTCGCCCACCACCTTTTTTGTGCCTGACCCCCTTCGTCCTTTCCCCCCTGCACATCTCTCCCCTCCCATCAGCGCGCTCGCGCTCGCGCTCTCCGCCAGGCCGACGATCCTTCTCGCCGCCTCCCCGCCGCCGCTCCCGCTCCCCTCCCCCCCGACGCAGTGGCCCTCCGCGCAGGTAGGTCCTGGTCCCACATATAAGCAGTTTATTGTCGCAGCCGCTCCTCCATCATTTGCTTGCTTCCTTTCCATTCTATCATAATGCTGGGTTCGTCCATATCTCCTTCCGTATGGTGCCTTGTTACTCGTTCATCTCATCAGTGCTCCCTCCTCCCCTGTTTCTCCCGCATCCTCACCCCCACGCCCTCAGGTCTCCCAGCTATTCCAATGACGACCGAAGTTACAGCCGCTCGCCCTCCCCCCGTGGGCACGGCCGCGGCCGCTCCCCTCCCCCACCTCGCAACGGCAACGCTGATGCTCCACCTAGGCAGGTGGTTTAAGATTATCCTAACACCCCCGTCTCACGAGTTTTGAGGCACCCCAAAACTCTGGCGCTCTGCGTAGGCAAGTTGTTTGAGACAATTCCAACACCCCCTTCCTGCATGACAACTGCTGGCTCACAGTGTTGGTATTTATGCTGATGGGAGCATTTCCGGTGTCTTTCGAAAAATAGCCTGTAATTCTTCTGGTGTGTTGCATTTTTTACTTGCTCCCTTGGTGCATTCTTTTTCAGGGGTCGGAGTGGTAGTGCAGGTGGAGGTGCAGCAGGTGGCGAAGGCGGGCCTAGCAGACCATAGAGTAGGAGTGCTGATGTGAGTGGCTGTGCAGTATAAAAATAGTGGACTAGACTCTATGTTGATGGTGGGTTTGGTTGCCACAGTTCTGCGTGCCTATTTCTGTTTCTGAATTCTGTATTTGGTCAGGCTGGCATGGTTAGTAGTCAACTCAGTGCTGATACTCTAGAGAGATTCAATGAAACCACCTTGTAATAGAAATACGGTACCGGAGCCTTCAAAACAGCTGAACTAGCAGGCTTGTGTTGGCATCACTGAATGAGCGCAGCCCTGCTGGCTTGACCAGCATACGACACAGAGGGCAGGTGCGCTCCCTTTCAAACCTGCCATGGGTGGGTATACAAATGGCAACCTAGTGTTAGTCTACACATATGGTAAGTGGAGCACTAGTACCAGTATAGTCACAACATGGAAACTGGTAGAACAGGAGATTCACACATTGCCTAACCACAAACTCATCAATTACGCTACCACTCAAGCATACAAGTGCTGCTTACCACTTGCGGTAACCATTTGATTGTAACGTACCACTCAGTAAGCAGTAATTGTAACTTACCACTCAGAGACGCATTCGTCGCAGAACACGTGGCGGCACCGCAGCGTGACAGGCCCAGTCATGTGCTCCTGGCAGATAGCACACATGTTGCCGGCTGCTGCTACCTGGTGCAGCAACAAGGGGGAGAGAGAAACGTGCAAGAATGCACATTTTCGAACCAACGGTTGTCAGCTCCCCCATAAGCATGAATTGACAGGAGTAGATTGGGGGGTGATAAGGGGGCAGGAAAGAAGGTTGTGGAGCTTGTGGCTCTGCTTGTTTCAACCAATGCGACATAATGAGCTAATAGTGGTGCAAGTCAGGGATACGGTGGCCTGCAGTCAGAACCAGTCCTGCCAGGCAAACTCGACACCTCGCGAGCCAAAGGATTTTCAGAAGATCTCTCTGATAAACCTATGGAATCTCTCTACCTTGTCATTTCTCAGTTCCCCATGGATTACTTTCGTTCAACAAAACCCTTACCATCTTCGGTGCCTGGGTGCAACTAGTTACTCTGTTCACTCACTCAGTGCCGTATCGCTCTGCAGTCTCTCTGCCTGGCAGCACAGCCCACATGGCTATTCTCCCCCTCACTTAGCATGGCCATGTAAACTGACTTTTGAGTCGACTCAAAAGTCAGAGCCCACAAGGCCGTTCTTCCCCTCACTTAGCATGGCCATGTGGACTCAGCTGCAGTCATACACACCTCGTTAACTCTGGCCGCAGTGCCATACTCCTTTTGAAAACCTTTTCCTTCACTAGAAGGCATACCTCGTCAGGCGTGGCCTCGGTCCCATACTGCTCGCCTTTCCCCACCGCTTGGCGAACAGCTGACACAAAGAGAAGCACCTGGCACACGAAGGGAGGGTTGAATCCCGTTATCAATTCACACAAAAAAACCCCACAGTTTTCGGTATAGTGAAGACAAAGAGACGGGAGCGAGCATGGTTCTAAGATACACAAGGGGAGTGACGAAGCGGGACCTTCATCTACCAAGCATTGCATGAGGAATTGATGAGCAACACCCAATGGAGGAGACAAATAAAAAGAACTTTCGTAAAAGTGACAACAAAATACCCTCGCAGGTTTTTTGAGCAGCATACCCTATCGAGCGAGGTGGAGAGCTTGAATGCGAGGTAGAGCCCAGCAGTGAGGGAGGCGGTGAGGCGGCCATACGCCTGGTCGTTGAGAAAGAACTGGAACCACACGGGTGCCGGCACAAAGGCGCGATAGAGGAGCGATGTGTACTCCACTAGGGTTAGGATCTGTGCCTGGTGGGAGAGAGGAAGGGTGGGTGGGAGGGACGGAGGGAGAGGAGGGAATGAACAGGCTGGCACAGACTGGAACCACACGGGTGCCGAGACAAAGGCACGGAAGAGGAGTGACGTGAAATCCACTAGGGTTATGTTCTGCGCCTGGTGGGAGAGAGGAAGGGTGGTAGAGAAGAAATGGGAAGGAGGCAGCGGGTCAAGGGTTAATGCCTACGGCTGGTGAGATATGGGGAGGGAGGGAGAGAAGAAGGGAGGGAGGGAGGGAGGGAGGGAGGGAGGGAGGGAGGGAGGGAGGGAGGGAGGGAGGGAGGGAGGGAGGGAGGGAGGGAGGGAGGGAGGGAGGGAGGGAGGGAGGGAGGGAGGGAGGGAGGGAGGGAGGGAGGGAGGGAGGGAGGGAGGGAGGGAGAACACACTGGTAGAATAGTGCAGACAAGAACTGAAACAGAAGCACACTGGGATTTGCACCAGGCGTGGTACAGGGCAGATGTGCAGTCCACCACAAGGGTCAGTATCCGCGGCTGGTGAGAGAGGGAGAGGGGAGGGAGTGAGTGTGAGAGGGAGGGGAGTAGACCAGTAGAATCGTACAGACAAGAACATCTCTTGGACTTCCCAGAAGGTACTCCACAAGAAGGATTAGTTTCTGCAGCTGGCGAGAGAGGGAAGGGGGAGTAGGTAAGAGAGGCATGAAAATATCTTGGTATAGTGAATTGCCCTGTATGTTGGAAGCAGCAGATAGCAGCAACCCCAATGAGATGTGCTTACCTGCTGCCGGTTGACAGCAAGGCCCTTGCTGCGATGGTGTGCAATGCACGATTATGGTGCTGCATGGAGATGGACGGTGGTGCTGCATAGTGCTTCATGGTGCTGCATGGTGCTGCAAGGTGCTGCATAGTGCTTCATGGTGCTGCATGGTGCTGCAAGGTGCTGCATAGTGCTTCATGGTGCTGCATGGTGCTGCACATCCCTTGCACGCCCAATAAGCGTGGCCTACCTGGTGGCGGTTGTGCATGCCCTTGCTGTGGCGGTGGGCAACGAGAAGGCCACACTTCACTGCCATGGCCATGAAGCGGACCAGCACGTCTGATTGGTAGCACAGGAGGAGGGCGGGGAGATGGGGGAGAGGGGCGAACAGGAGAGAACACGTGGGGGAGAAAAGGGGTTGAGCTGACATCACTGCCATGGCCATGAAGCGGACCAGCACGTCTGATTGGTAGCACAGGAGGAGGGCGGGGAGATGGGGGAGAGGGGCGAACAGGAGAGAACACGTGGGGGAGAAAAGGGGTTGAGCTGACATCACTGCCATGGCCATGAAGCGGACCAGCACGTCTGATTGGTAGCACAGGAGGAGGGCGGGGAGATGGGGGAGAGGGGCGAACAGGAGAGAACACGTGGGGGAGAAAAGGGGTTGAGCTGACATCACTGCCATGGCCATGAAGCGGACCAGCACGTCTGATTGGTAGCACAGGAGGAGGGCGGGGAGATGGGGGAGAGGGGCGAACAGGAGAGAACACGTGGGGGAGAAAAGGGGTTGAGCTGACATCACTGCCATGGCCATGAAGCGGACCAGCACGTCTGATTGGTAGCACAGGAGGAGGGCGGGGAGATGGGGGAGAGGGGCGAACAGGAGAGAACACGTGGGGGAGAAAAGGGGTTGAGCTGACATCACTGCCATGGCCATGAAGCGGACCAGCACGTCTGATTGGTAGCACAGGAGGAGGGCGGGGAGATGGGGGAGAGGGGCGAACAGGAGAGAACACGTGGGGGAGAAAAGGGGTTGAGCTGACATCACTGCCATGGCCATGAAGCGGACCAGCACGTCTGATTGGTAGCACAGGAGGAGGGCGGGGAGATGGGGGAGAGGGGCGAACAGGAGAGAACACGTGGGGGAGAAAAGGGGTTGAGCTGACATCACTGCCATGGCCATGAAGCGGACCAGCACGTCTGATTGGTAGCACAGGAGGAGGGCGGGGAGATGGGGGAGAGGGGCGAACAGGAGAGAACACGTGGGGGAGAAAAGGGGTTGAGCTGACATCACTGCCATGGCCATGAAGCGGACCAGCACGTCTGATTGGTAGCACAGGAGGAGGGCGGGGAGATGGGGGAGAGGGGCGAACAGGAGAGAACACGTGGGGGAGAAAAGGGGTTGAGCTGACATCACTGCCATGGCCATGAAGCGGACCAGCACGTCTGATTGGTAGCACAGGAGGAGGGCGGGGAGATGGGGGAGAGGGGCGAACAGGAGAGAACACGTGGGGGAGAAAAGGGGTTGAGCTGACATCACTGCCATGGCCATGAAGCGGACCAGCACGTCTGATTGGTAGCACAGGAGGAGGGCGGGGAGATGGGGGAGAGGGGCGAACAGGAGAGAACACGTGGGGGAGAAAAGGGGTTGAGCTGACATCACTGCCATGGCCATGAAGCGGACCAGCACGTCTGATTGGTAGCACAGGAGGAGGGCGGGGAGATGGGGGAGAGGGGCGAACAGGAGAGAACACGTGGGGGAGAAAAGGGGTTGAGCTGACATCACTGCCATGGCCATGAAGCGGACCAGCACGTCTGATGGGCAGCACGCATGAGGGGAACGCGCGGGGAAGGGAGTGGTGCACAGAGGAGGGAACCGAGGTGAGCTGCGGAGAGCGTGCGCAGGAAGAGGTGAGCTGACTGCACTGCCATGGGCATAACGCACACCAGCACGTCTGATAACTACCACACGATTCACCCAGATGTGTGTGGGGGGGAAATGGGACACGTAGGGGAGGCAAAGGAGAGAGGATGCAGAGGAAAGGGCGAGTGGGAACACGAAGGGGTGGGAGTGTTTTGATGTATGGAGAGGAGGGAGAGAGGAGAGGGGAGGGTTAATGGCGGTATGTAGGAGAGGGGGTGGAAGGTGGGAGTGTAAAGCTTTGTGCTGTGTTTTGGACTGAAGTGTTCTTGTAAGGGTTTACATTAAGGTTTCCATTTCGATTTCCATTACTGAAGAAAGTTCAACCTGTTGTAATGTAAACTGCAAACACTCACCACTTGTGACCTGCTGCGTAGATATACGCAAGAATATACACAAAACATGCAGCTTCCCAGCACTCACCATTTGTGACTATAATGAAGAGAGCGTGCCAAAAAGGAGGCACTTCAGCGGGCGGTAGGAGCAGAAGCGGTCTCCACAGCTGCTCGGGCCAGAAGAGCCAATTAACAACTGCCACGTGTGCAAGCAGCAGCACAGCTGCCAGCACCAGCAGCACTGGATTGCGGTCAGCCTGGCAGTAGGTCCAGGGGGAAGGGGAGGAGAAGGGGAAGGGGAGGGGGAAAGGAAGGAAGGGGAAAGGGGAGGGGAAAGGGGAGGGGAAAGGGGAGGGGAAAGGGGAGGGGAGAGAGAGGAGGAAGGGAAGGGGGAAGGGCAAAAGGGAAGGGGGAAGGGCAGAGGGGAGGCAGGGGAGAAGGGAGGGACAAGAGAAATGAGAGAGCGATGGGCAGGGGATCAGCAGGGTCGTGGAAAAGGATCACTGAGAGGGTGTGGCACGATTTATATAACGAAGGGGCGACACCCATGTGGCACTGTCCTTATAATGAACGGGTGACACCAATGTGACACGGTGCCACCCATGTGACATGGTCCTTATAACGAAGGGATGCCACCCACGTGGCATGGTTCTTATAACGAACGGGTGCCACCCACCCATGTCGCACGGTTTCTTAAACCGAGCGGCTGAGAAAGAGAGAGGCGCACCTTGAGCGCGCCCTGTTTGCGGATGAAGTCGTTGGCCTTGAAGAGCGTCGCTGTGAGCCACACTACCGTGCAGAAGCCTGTGGTGGGAGGGGAGGTGAGCACAGAAATACACGCGAGTGTGTTGTTGCTGTGCTGGTGAGCTGGTGAGGGGTGCGCATGCATGTGTGGGTGAATTGTGAGACTCATGCATGTGCTAGCCATGGGCTCAACAGGCATGGAAACATAACTTACTCTGCACGACCAACCCCCACCCACACACCCACGCATGCATGCCCTCACACCCACACATGCATGCCAACACAAGCCCAAACGCCAACTGCGCTTTATCTTTCTATTGCCCACGCACACAACGCCAGCTGAATTTGCTCATCAAGCTCTGTTCCGTGAAAGTCCTACCTGACTCTCCACTCGCTAATGAGGTGCTGCCTCACTGCCCACTCACCAATCAGGTGCTGCCTCACTGCCCACTCACCAATCAGGTGCTGCCTCACTACCCACTCACCAATCAGGTGCTGCCTCACTCCGCACTCACCAATCAGGTGCTGCCGGACTTGCACAAACAGCAGCAGGAACGCGAACGGAACGGCCTGCTCCAGGCTCCGCGCCGCCAGGTGCATGTCGGACCCGCGCGTCACCGTCCCCGCTCCGCCTCCCGCTTCCCCTCCCCCCCCGCGCCCCCGTCCGTCCGCGTCCTCATCACCACCACCATCACTCGAGCCACTACCAGCGCCGCTACCAGAGCCGCTACCAGCGGGAAGCCCACCGCTTGTCTCTGACCGTCCGTCTGCCGTTCTAGCTGCTCTCCCTGCTCCTCCTCCCCTTGCTCCTATGATTGCAATAGCCGCTGCTTCTCCTGCAGCGTCACTTGCTGACTCTGCTAAATCGCCATCAGTGCCTGCTGTCCCTGTTACCACTGATACCCCCCCTAGATTTTCCGTTCCTGCTGCTCCTGCTTCTGCCCCTGCTACTGCTCCTACTGCTGCTGCTTTTCCGGATTCTACTGCCGTTGCTCTTCCTCCGCCCATTTCCGCAAGTCCGTCTGCGGCACCATGCGCGCCGCCCCTCCGCGCGCCTGCGTCCGCTTGCCATCGCTCTCCGCGACTCTCTTCCGCCCTCCCTTCCCCCGCTCCCTCGTCCACATCCAGCCGTATCTCCCCGTCTGCTCCGCTCTCCCGCCTCTCCGCTCCTTCCGCCACGCTACCCGGAAGTGACAGTAACGAAGGCGACGCGTGCAAAGCGGAGGAAGAAGCCGGGAGGATTGCCATCTGGGAGGGAGTCGGGGGGGAGGTGAGACTGCGGAGAGAGAACGGCTCGCCATTGGTCGACGATACTGCCACGTGGGCATCGTACGGCCGTCGATGACTCGGTGGCGGAGTCTCATACGGGCGGTAGCCTGACGCGGGATTCCCATTGGCGGATAAGACACTCGGGTGCGCGGAACTTCCCCGTGGTCTTACTTCCCCTTCTCCTTCCCCTTCCCCAGGAGTTTCCCCGCGCGCGCGTGTTTCCCCTTGTTCTTCCACTTGGCAGTCATCTGCTCCCCCGTGATCTTTCAACGTCGCAGAACGCTCGGCGCGTTTTTGAGAGACAGGTGCTATGGCTGGAGGAGGCAGCGGCGGCAACTGCGGAGGGTGCGGTCGCGTGACACGTGGCTCGTCTCCACTTGTGAAACGTTGCCCTTCTCCCCTCTGTCGTTCTTCGCTACTTCCACTAGTTCCTAAACCTGGTAAGTTTCTGACAGCATCTGGATTCGAGTGAGAAAGGAGGAGCGGGGAACTAGTGCTTGTAGCGGATCGACTGCTTGTAACAGGTTGGCTGGCGAGAAGAGGGGACTGGCCGGGATTCCGTCGACCAGGAGCAGCAGGCTGATCTGAGCCGAAAAACGCGGAGGAGAGACCGAGACTAAGCGCGGATAACGGCGGAGATCCCGCGACGTCGACAACGCGGTGGAAGAGATGCTGCTCTTCTCGATCCGAGTCCGAAGCGCTTGAAAACTGACCGTTTTCATGCGTCTGCTGCCGTTGAGACTGCTGGCGTGGCTGCTGACGTGGCTGCTGCTGCAGTTGCTGACGGCCGTCAGAGCTGTCGGACAGCCATTGAGGGAGGAGCTGATGTCGCTCCTGATTGGCTCGTTCGGGTGCGTGGCTACCGCGTCTACCGCTGGGACTTGGCGTTTCGCCGCTGGTTGCGCGGAGGATTCGAGATAACGCTTCGATAGGCGAGAATCTCGAACCGAACATGTTCAAGACATTACTGGTAGCATCATGCTGAGTTGTAATGTTACGAATTCCAGGTCCAGTGACCCTGGGTTGGTTCGGACTAGACGGAACTGGCGGATTCCTGCTGCCATGGCTACTGCTGCTGCTATTGAGTGGATTAACTTCTTCAGGGTCCACCATTGATCGTACCTTGTGTAGCTAATGCTGGTTGTAACTACAGGAGTGGGTTAAAAATCATGAAAGGGAAATCTGGGAGACACTAACGACACAACTACTTCTGTGTGACGGATTGTGGACTTGAACCTGGGGAATTATGAAGCTAGTTTTCCGGCCGAATCATCTAGGCGCTGCACGAGACGAGGCGCTAACACGCTTTATGATGCTCAGCCTTTCTCATCCCAAAACTATTTAGTGACCAGCTAAAGAATCTGCAATCTCCGAAATCTTCTGTGAGCGAGCTTGATAACAATTGTCATCTCCAACGGCTCCTTCACAATGCACAGCAACACTCGAGCTCGTTGGACACCTGTCTGTCACAATTTATCTGTCAACTGCTGGACTCGCACGCTTGCTCCCATAACCTGTCTCCAGCCTTCACGCTCGCTGGTGCTTGTCTGGGAGGAACTTGACGGAATGACGGAATGATGGGGTGACGGAGTGACAGAACTGGACAGAACTGACGGAAAGAGACGGAAGTGAGGGAACCGCGGGGACCTGCGGTATCAAGTTCCGCGTTGGCGCAAGTTTTGTGCCAAACGTGTTCTTGGGGAGCCCATCACCTTCCGCGTAAACAAGCCGCTGACCAGTAAGATGCACTTGTCCATGCAGCGGACAAATCGAAGGGAGTCGCGCCTTTTCCAGCTGGGTTCGGTCGTTCGGACGCGCCATCACAAAGCAAGCCCAGCCCACGTCAGAAGCAAACTACGCTGACGGGGTCACGGCTGCGGGGCTGGAGATACCCGCGGAGGGCTACTGTTTCGAACGCTTGTGGCAGAGAGGCGGGAAAACGATGAAGGATATTTTTTGTCCGTTGCCTCGGTTCGGTGAGCTTCTCTTCGCAGCTCAGGTGCATAGGAGGATCTGACGACAATCGCGCGTGTACAGCGACGTTCGTCATGTCGAAGCAAGCAGTTTGGTTAGGTGACCTCGCTGGCTGCGTGGCGACCATGTACTAGTTCAACGCGCTACGGTAAAACCGTGGTCACTGAAATAATCTCTTACAGAACACAAGAACCTAGTATCTAGCCCACAGTATTGCTCACCAAGTTTGCCTGCCACACAGGTCAAGCGAACTAGCCTTTCATGAAAAAAGCCAATAGTAAACCGAAATCCATTTTCTACTCCTGCGCAGCAACCTTGAGCGCAAGAGTGAGGTCATCCAAGCTCGCCTTGGCATACAGCTGGTGCTTCACAATCTCCACCGAATCCCTCGACGCCACAGCGCCCGTCGCCGCATCCTCCTCATCCACCGTGTTGAAAATCACAAACGCCGGCGACGTAAAAATAACCTCACGCTCCGTCGGCTCATGCCTGTAAAGCAAATTCCCCATGCGTCGCCCCCCGCCAGAAGCCTTGGCTGCAGCAGGGGGGAGCGGGGGAGCAGAGGATGCTGCTGCTGCTGCTGCTGCCGCTGGTGCCAGGGGTGCTGCTGGTTGCTCCTGTGCTGTCGCTGCTGCTACTGCCGGAAGGTTCCTTCTCCTGCCATAGCCTCCCCACGATCCTCCATTCGTCCGTTCGGCTGTCCGGCTCCTGTGATTGGTAGAGAGATCGGAATGCGGGAAACATGGGAGGGGTATGTGGGGGCAAGGGGAGGTGGTGAAGAAAGGGTTTGTGCAGAAAAGAGAGCAGCTTGGCCACCAAGTGCGAACAGCCCTGCAGCGGCTCCTACACGCAAACACACTCTCCTCTATCCTGACACGTCTCACTCAAATCTGGCACTCACAGGAAGGTGCGGAAGACGGATGGGAGCGGGCAGCAGGCGCACGGACGGCACATGAGTAGCATTAAGGGCCCTCTCAGACAGCAGCTTGGCCACCAGGCGCGAGCAGCCCTGCAGGCGCTTCCACATGCAAACACTCTCCTCTCTCCCAACACATCTCGCACCAGACAGACTCTCACAGGCAGGCACGAGCAGCCCTGGCTGCTTCCACATGCACCCACCCTCCTTTCTCCCAACACATCTCAAATCCCAGCACTCACAGGCAGGTGCGGCAGGCGGATGGGCGCGGGCAGCAGGCGCACGGACGGCACATCAGTGGCATTGAGGGCTCTCTCAGACAGCAGCTTGGCCACCAGGCGCGAGCAGCCCTGCAGGCGCTTCCACAGGGAGGCTGCCACCATGGCTGTGGCCTCCATGCGCGTGAACGCCCTCAGCAGCACCTCCAAGTCTTCGACTCGTTCATCGGAGCAACTACCAGCGCTCTCTGGTGGGGGAGGGGTGGAGAGGGGTGGGGATGGATGAAGTACAAAACACCGCCACCATGGCTGTGGCCTCCATGCGCGTGAACGCCCTCAGCAGCACCTCTAGGTCCTCCACTCGCTCGTCCGAGCAGCTGCCAGCGCTCTCTGGGGAAGTGCAGAGGCGTGGAGAGGGGTGGGGATGGGTGGAAGGGGGAGAGGGAGAGGCGGAGAGGTTTGGGGAGTGGTGAACTGGAAACTGCTGCTAAAGGTGCCTAGAGAGCAGGAGAGGCTGCCACCATGTCTGTAGCCGCCATGCAGAAGAGGGGTGGAGAGGGGTACGGACGCGTGGGGAGGGGTGACCAGCAAGTGCTGCAAAAGGTGTCCCAAAAGCAAAAGCGGCTGCGAGCATGGCTGGCGCCTCCAACGCGACATGTTATGTTGATCACCATAAACGCCACACTGTGCCCGCCACCCATCCCCATGAGATGACTTTTGAGTCGACTCAAAAGTCACCACTGTGAGCATGGCTGGCGCCTCCAACGCGACATGTTATGTTGATCACCATAAACGCCACACTGTGCCCGCCACCCATCAGTTTCCCAATCCCACCCACCACATCACTCCCATGACTCACGATCATCCAGCCACTGCCACATGCTGGCCACCATGCCGGCCACGCGCTGCCTCTGCTCCGCCACGGGCTCCTCTCGCCCGCCCTGGTCGCGGCAGCAGTCCCCAATCCCACCCACTGAGTAGCCAATCCCACCCACTGAGTAGCCAATCCCACCCACTGAGTAGCCAATCCCACCCACTGAGTAGGCAATCCCACCCACTGAGTAGCCAATCTCACCCACTGAGTAGCCAATCCCACCCACTGAGTAGCCAATCCCACCCACTGAGTAGCCAATCCCACCCACTGAGTAGCCAATCCCACCCACTGAGTAGCCAATCCCACCCACTGAGTAGCCAATCCCACCCACTGAGTAGCCAATCCCACCAGTCGCCCTCATGACTCACGGTCATCAAGCCACTGCCACATGCTGGCCACCATGCCGGCCACGCGCTGCCTCTGCTCCGCCACGGGCTCCTCTCGCCCGCCCTGGTCGCGGCAGCAGTCCCCAATCCCACCCACTGAGTAGCCAATCCCACCCACTGAGTAGCCAATCCCACCCACTGAGTAGCCAATCCCACCCACTGAGTAGCCAATCCCACCCACTGAGTAGGCAATCCCACCCACTGAGTAGCCAATCTCACCCACTGAGTAGCCAATCCCACCCACTGAGTAGCCAATCCCACCCACTGAGTAGCCAATCCCACCCACTGAGTAGCCAATCCCACCCACTGAGTAGCCAATCCCACCAGTCGCCCTCATGACTCACGGTCATCAAGCCACTGCCACATGCTGGCCACCATGCCGGCCACGCGCTGCCTCTGCTCCGCCACGGGCTCCTCTCGCCCGCCCTGGTCGCGGCAGCAGTCCCCAATCCCACCCACTGAGTAGCCAATCCCACCCACTGAGTAGCCAATCCCACCCACTGAGTAGCCAATCCCACCCACTGAGTAGCCAATCCCACCCACTGAGTAGGCAATCCCACCCACTGAGTAGCCAATCTCACCCACTGAGTAGCCAATCCCACCCACTGAGTAGCCAATCCCACCCACTGAGTAGCCAATCCCACCCACTGAGTAGCCAATCCCACCCACTGAGTAGCCAATCCCACCAGTCGCCCTCATGACTCACGGTCATCAAGCCACTGCCACATGCTGGCCACCATGCCGGCCATGCGCTGCCTCTGCTCCGCCACGGGCTCCTCCCGCCCCCCCTGGTCACGGCCCAGCAGCAGCACGGCGGACGAGAAGCACGTCGCCAGCAGCTGCCCCAGCAGCTCCTCGGGTACAACCGTGTCAAGGTAGTGCAGGATCTGGGGGGGTGGAGAGAGGTGGAGAGGGGTAGAGAGGGGTAGGGGAGGGGATGGGGCGGAGTAGAAGGGATGGATGGTTAGTGTCTGATTTTCACGAAGCTGGCCCAGCAGCTCCTCCGGCACCACCGTGTCCAGATAGTGCAGGATCTGAAGGGGTGGAGGAGAGTGGAGAGGGTTGGGGCGGAGAGGGGTGGAGAGGGGTGGAGAGGAGTAGGGGAGGGTTGGGGCGGAGTTGAAGGGATGGAGGGTTAGTGTCCGCATCACAGGAAGCTACCCAGCATTCCTATGGCACCACCACAGTAAAGCTCCTCAGGTGCAAGGCCCCGCAAAGAGCCACTCACACAAGACATTCTTTCCACCAGGTCCCGACTCTCTCCTCGTTCCCATCCCTCCCCACCTCCCTCACCCCTGCAATCCCTCACCTTCTCGCCCTCCAGGTCGAAGTGGAAAATAGGCCTCTGCTCATGAGCAGGTTCAGGCTCAGCGCTGTCCCACAGCTCGCGCCACAGGTTGCCATGCACCTCCTCCATGCGCTCCGACAACCTCCCCCTGGGCGGCCACCCCGACCCATCCACGCGGTACCGCCTCCTCCTGCTCCCTCCACCACCACCACCGGGACCCCTCCCGCGGCCGCCGCCTCTCCCTCTCCCCCCCCTGCGCCCGCCACGCTCGTGCTCGTCGCTGTCCCGCCTCCTCATGCCGTCGTCCCTCCAGTCGCGCTCACCATAATCATCACCATCATCCCGGTCGCCGCGCCTGTCACGGCCGTCACGGAAGTCACGTCGGCCATCTCTGTCATCACGGTCGTCACGGCTGTCGCGATGGTCGCGCCTGTCGTGGCCGCGGCGCCGCTCGCCAAACTCGTCCCACTCCTCGCGGTCGTCGCTGTACTCCCCCTCCTCTCGCCCCCTCCCGCTGCCCCTTCCCCTCGCCCTCTCCCTCTCCCTCTCTGGGTCACTGTCTGGTTCTGGGCTTCGATACCTCTCCCTCTCCCTCTCCTCCTCCCTCCCCTTGAGCGCGTCCCTATCCCTGTCTCTCTCCCTATCGCTCCCCTCTCTCTCCTTCTCCCTATCGCTGTTGTCCTTGTCCTCCTCCCTCTCTCCTTTCTCCACAGCCTTCTCAGTCGCTTCCACCTCACTCTCTTTCACACCCTCCTCCTTCTCAATCTCTTTCCCACCATCCCCCACACTCTCCCCTCCCACTTCAACCTTCTCTTCCTTGCCTTCCTTCTTCCCATCCTCCCCTTTCTCTGCCTTTTCCTCACCAGCCTCCCCCTCCCCTGTCTTCTCATCCTGAGCTGCTTCAAAAAACTCCTCTTCCTCTTCCTTGTCCTTTCTGGGGCTCCTGCTGCTGGGGCGGCGAGAAAGAGAGCTCTCCTTCTTCTCTTTCCCAGGAGTCCCATCCTGGTCGTAATCAGAGTCCCCCTCCCTCTTACTCTTGTCTCTGCCACCATACTCTCCTCCCTCCTCCCTCTCCCTCTCCCTCTCCCTGCTCCTATCCCTGCCACCACCCCTCCTATCCACCTCTCTGTCAACATCACTCTCTTCCGTGTCTCGCCCTCTCTCCCTCTCCCTCTCTCTCTCTCGCTCCCTCTCCCTATCAATCTCCCTGTCTGAATAATCATCATCAGCATACCTCCCGCTCTCCCCGTACCTCCCACTCCCACTATCACTGAACCTCCCACTCGCGTCCCTCAAGCTGTCATCCCTCCTGTACCTCTCCTCGCCTCCCCTTCCGTACCTGTCCCCTCCTCCCCTGCCGTACCTGTCCTCCCGATCCTCATACCGGCCGCCCCGCCCGTACCTGTCATCATCATCCCTCCCGTACCGCCTGCCCCCATCGTCATACTCATCATCGTAATCGTCCACGTCATCAGAGCCCTCATCCGCGCTTGTGATTGGCAGCCAGTCGTTGGGCGAGTGCCAGCGCACAAAGTCCTCTAGCACAGCCCCGGGGTTCGCAGCTTTGAAAGCCGACATGTCTGGCGGAGCAAGGTGTAAGAGGAGAGTGTGTGCGGGGGGAGAGAGGAGGAAGAGGGAAGGATTGGGTTGCATAAAGAAGGGAGGGTAACATCAGCCAGTCATTGGGTGAACACCAGTGCACAACAAACCCTGTCAGAACTGCGGCAGTGCTCATGTTGTTGGGGTATTGCTTTGAAAGCTCAACGCGTGAAGGGGCAAAGAGCGCAATTTGTGTTGGAAAGAGAGGATTTGCACGGGGCCAGCAAAAGAGAGCAAGATTGGCGAGAAGCATGACAGCATGAAGAATCAAATATAGACGGCATAAAGGACGGTCGGAAAAAGATCAGATCAGACCTGAAGCAACAACATCACTCTGCATGCGAGCTCGAGTTTCACGTCCCTGCGCACATGACAGGCAAGCAGACAACAATTGCACATGTAAGACCACATACACAATACACCCACACATACACTGATTCTTTGCAGTCCAGTTTCCGGGCATGACTGCTGGGATAGCACCCTGTTTACTTGCAAGGATTCCTCACTCACCGCAGGGGTGCTGCCAAGAGCCTCCATGGCTCGTTCCTTCTCCTCGATCATGTCTTCACTCATGAACACCGGGTCCTGTGTGTGTGGCTCCAGCATACGTCGCCTCACTCCTGTCCGGTGACAACAGTCTTCCAACACCACACCCAGACAAGTGACTCACCGCCGGGGTGCTGCCCAGGGCCTCCATAGCGCGCTCCTTCTCCTCGATCATGTCTTCACTCATGAACACCGGGTCCTGTGTGTGTGGCTCCAGCATGCGCCGCCTCACGCGCAGCAGCCACAGGTCGCCCTTCACCGGCCCCGCCACCCCCCGCCGGCGCACGCGGCGCCGCCCCCTCGCCATCGCCCCCGTGAGCCCGTGGCTCGTGCGGCCCCTCTCCGCCCACGTGTCGTCGTCCGATACGTCGCTCTCGCTAAAATATCTGTGGGTTGTGCGCGGGTGGGTGGTGGAAAAGTGAGGAGCACATGATGGAGTGTTGATGTCGCCTAAAAGAGGTGCATCACTCATGCAGCCCCTCCATGCCCACTTCATGAAAATCCCCACCATGAGTGGGCTGGGCCCAACCCCTTTCTCTTCATAAGACACCATCCTCTCAACCCCATTTTCCATGCTGCACTCACTCATCCAGGTCCTCTTCACTGCGGTAGGAAGGCGAGTCACCATCGGCCACGCCGCCCTCATCATAGAACGCCACGTCGTGCGACCCGTGCGTGTCCGAGTCCCCCGAGGGCGTCTTGTCGTCGTGGTACGGGCTAGCACCATCGCCATCGTCCCAACCCCGCCCTCCCCGCCCGCGACCCGCCCTGCCATCATGCCAGCCACCGCCCTCACTCCCAGACCTCTCCATCCCCTCCCACTCCTCCTCATCCCTCCCGCCCCTCCTCTCCCTATCACTCCCCCTCCCTCCCCTCTCTCTCCCGCTGCCGCCGCGCCTCGAGTCAGCGCGAGTCGGGCCGTCGTCGAGCGCTGTACCCCTTACAAGCTCCTCCACGCGCTCGCCTACAAGCTTGGCGGCGGCGATCTGGTGCATGCGCTCTGCGTGCCGCATGCGCTCCTCCATCTCCCGCTCCTGCTGCTTGCGCCGCCGCTTGATGCACTCCTGCAGCTGTGAGAGGCGAGGGGGAAGGAAAAGTGGGGGAAGTGGGGAGAAAAACGGGAAAGGAAAAGAGGGGAAAGGCGAGCATGTTAATTATGCTCCTCCATCTCACGCTCCTGCTGCTGCTTGTGCTCCAGCTATTTGTTAAGCGCCTAAAAGACAAAGCCACCTACCAGCTGCAGCTTCTGGTGAATGAGGCAGGTGGCGGTGTTGGGAGGCCCGTCAGCAATGACTCGAGGGATGGGCAGCGCTTGCTCCCAGTTCCACCGCAGCTCTCGGGTGAACTCCAGCCACAGCGCCGCCACGGCTGAAAGTGGGCCAGAAGGGAGAGTGCAAGGGGGCAGAGGGTTAGGGATGAGAGAGCAACGAGAGGGGACACGGCAAGGATCCTGCTCCCAGTTACACCTCAGCTCACGTGTGTTGTGAATTCCAGCCACAGCATTCGTGTGACTTTTGAGAATTGTCAAAAGGCAAGGATCCTGCTCCCAGTCACACCTCAGCTCACGTGTGATGTGACCTCCAGCCACAGCGCTACCACGGCTGGAAGAGGGACAGAGGTGAAGGAATAAGGGGGCAAGGCACGAGACAAGGAACAAGGAGGCAAGGAACAAGGATGCAGCTCGTGCATATGACGCGGCTGCAATCAAGAAGGATGGCCCAGATGCCATGACTAGCAGTACCATGTTTGGCAACTTGAGCGACGAAGGGGCGGGTAGTAGCCAAACATAGTAGCGTTATTCAAGGCATCTGGGCCATCCCTCTCGATCACAGCCGTATCATATGCACAAGCCGCCTCCTCTTCCGTGGCAGTTCCACCGCAGCTCGCAAGTAAAATCCAGCCACGGCTAAAGGACAAGAGGGGAAAAGGAAAGGAAGGGTTTTCAAAGTGCAAGCAAAGTGAAGGTTGTGGGAAGAGAGAGATATGCAAGGCCACAGGTGGCATGGACAAGGCAGGTGCGCGAGGCTCATCGGATGTTGCAAGTGCCGAAGCGCAGCACATGCAGCACAAGGCGTGAGAATGTACGATATTTGAGGCACCTCACAAATCGGCAGGGCAGGGCAGGGGCTCACATCGAATGTTGCAGGTGCCGAAGCGCAGCACATGCAGAGCGAGGCGTGAGAAGAGCGAATCCACCGGCGCCGCCTTGCCAATGTGCGTTGCCCCCTTGAACTTGCCACTCAGCCCATTCTCCTCCATGCCCTTCCCCCCTGCACCTTCTGTTCCCCCTCCCTCCGCTCCTGCCCCAACTGCTCCCTCTCCTGCAGGACCCTTCACCCCGCTGCCAGTAACGCTGGTGTCGGTGGCGCTGATGCTGCTGATGACACTGCTGGCAGTGGTGATGGTGGTGCCGCGGTCAGCATCAGAGATGGAGCTCGCCTCCTGCTGCTCTGACGCCTTCCCCATGTACTTGGACACTGACGCCAGTGCCTCCTCTGGGGGGGGGAAGGGGGGGTGGTGCAAAGGGGGATTTAGAGTGCAAGAAATCACTTTCCAGTTAACGAGAAGCCTTGAAGCACGACACCAGCCAGCCTGTCGTGCTTTAAGGATTTATAAGAAGCCCATAACAAAAAGCTCTTTACAAAGCCCTATCAGACCAGCCTGATATTTAAGGCTTTCGAGACTAGGAGCTTGATATGGGCCTTGAAAAGAGCTCAAAGTGCAACTCACTGGAGTGAACGAGGCGCTTACTCGAGTGGAAGAGGTCCTTGACCACTCGCTCCATGACACTGGGCGGTGGGATGGTCATATTGTTGCGCCGCGCAAAGTTCTGAGCTGCGATAGGGGGAAGGAGATGTGGGGCGACGAGACGCGGCCAAAGAAAGTGAGACGAGAAATGGGAAGCGACGTGAGGAGGACCAGAGAAGTGTGGGGAGGGAAGGAGATGCGCAGATATAAGCACCTCTGTAAACAATGGACCTCCATGAGGACACCGGCCAGCAACTCGACAGTAATAGATAACACGATACACTCACATACACCACATACCCGCTATAAAGTCTTCCATGTACTGGCCTGTGGTGGACACCACGTACGCCCCCAGCAGCGCATGCAGCCGCCCAGCAAAGCCCTGAGGGGGATCGTCACTGTCAAAGTCAGTCCTGCACGGAGGAGAGGGGAGGTGACGGAAGAAGAGGGAAGGAGAGGAGAGATGAGGGGAAAGAAGCAACAGGTAGTTCTAGCACATACATTAGACTCATCAAAACTGCTCCTGGGTGGTGCAAAGGAAGACATCTCTCCTGCCGGGAGCGAAGGGAGACGCTTCTCACCTGGTGGGGGCGAGCAGAGCACGAAGCAGCCATTCATCCGCGGTAGTAGCATCCAGCTGCTCCATCTGCGCCATGCCTGACGAGCTGCTCGCCCGGAGCTCCTGGAAGCGAGAAGGGGGCCTCACCTCACCTCAGCTATTGGTGCAAAGGGTGACGACGCCTCACCTGGTGGGGGCGAGAAGCGCACGAAGCAGCCACTCATCCGCAGTGGTGGCATCCAGCTGCTCCATCTGAGCCATGCCCGACGAGCTACTAGCCCGGAGCTCCTTCCACGTGGCCACCAGCTCAAACCCCTTCACCGGATCGTCCACTGAGTGCCACACGCTCCACGCCATGCCCTCAGCTCCTGGGAGCGAGTAGGGTGCCTCATCTACTGGTGCAAAGCGAGACGCCTCACCTGGTGGGGGCGAGAAGCGCACGAAGCAGCCACTCATCCGCAGTGGTGGCATCCAGCTGCTCCATCTGAGCCATGCCCGACGAGCTACTAGCCCGGAGCTCCTTCCACGTGGCCACCAGCTCAAACCCCTTCACCGGATCGTCCACCGAGTGCCACACGCTCCACGCCATGCCCTCGTCCCACGCCCTCTCCTGCCCCCAGAACTCGTCCTCCTCCTCCGCCCCTGCGCCTGCGCCCTCCTCGCCCCCCGCCCCTGCGCCTGCTTCTGCTGGGCGGGTCTTGGGGGGCGGGGGCGCGTCTGGGGAGCCCCAGTAGCGCAGGCGGTAGCGGATCCGCATGGCGACAGTCACATCAGGGGACACTGACGCCACCGTGCTGGGGAGCTCTGCTATCTGCGAATGAGGGGAGGGAGGGACGGAAGGGGGTGAATGGGGAGCCCCAGTAGCGCAGGCGGTAGCGGATGCGCATGGCCACAGTGACGTCTGGGGACACTGATGCCACCGTGCTGGGGAGCTCCGCTATCAGCGAGCGGGTCAGGCAGAGACGGGGGAAAAAAGAGGGAAGGCTTGGTGACTAAGCAACCCCAGGCGGTAGCATTTGCGTCAGGGAAAAGGAAAGAATGAAGGTAGGACAAAACCAGCTTCGGGGCACCCATGTCTCACCAGCTTGAACGCGAAGAGATAGTAAAGAGCATCGAGAGACAGCAGGTTCTGCGTTGCTGGTGATGCGATCCGCCTCGTAGTGAAACAGGCCACGCTCTTTGAGACATCTCAAAACTCACCAGCTTGAAGGCAAAGAGGTAGTAGAGCCCGTCGAGGGACAGCAGGTTCTGCGGCACGTTGCTGGTGATGCGATCCGCCTCGTAGTGAAACAGATAGTCGCCCACGCCCCCCGCGCCCACCCCTCCCACCGTGCCTCCTCCCGCGCCCGGACCTGACCGCACGCCTCGGCCCGAGCCTGAGCCCGCGCCGGTGCGGGTGGCTCGGGGCCCGTGCTGGAAGCCGATGAAGGCCTTGCGGGAGGGGTCATGCACTGGAACGAAGGAGGGCAGGGAGCTGGGGAGGGAGGAAGAGAGAGAGGGGGACGAGGAGAGCAAAGGATGGAGGTGACAATAATGCAAGCATTCTGAGTCTAAGACGCAAAGAGGGGGAGCTGCATGGATCAGCACGGAGAGAACGTTACAAGCAGAGGTCTTGCGAGTCCTGCTGGCCACGCTCAATGCCACGAGATGTTGTCATTGCATACCCACACCCCCCCTCCCCTTCCGCCCCCCCCCCTCTTCTCACCCCCCCTCTTTCCCCTTCAAAAAAAAAAAAAAAAAAAATCGTCAAAGGTGGTTACCACTCGGTGTTACACGAGGCGATGGCGAGCGTGCTAAGGAGCATGGAGGCTTCAGGTGAGTCCAGCACAACTCCAGAGGCTGTCACGGGTGCCAGCACCTGTGATTGAGGGTAGGGAAGAAGAATCGAGCAAGGACGTGAGAGGATGAAGTAGGCAGGGCTGCAGCGCACAATAGCTCAGCTCAGAGCACTACCAGCAGCAGGTCCGGTCGCTCACACCACAAACTTATGAATGCCGAACCAGAGCCAAGACATTTCGAGCCTAGAGCATAGCAGCGGCATCTCACCACAAACTCTTGGATGCCGAACCAGAGCTGCAGTGGGTGCACGGCCTTCTCCCAGGGGCTGGGGCGGCCCGTGGCTGAGATAGAGGCAATGCGCTTGAGCGCCGCTGCTGTCTCTGCTGCCACCGTCGGATGTATGCTGTTGCTGCTCGCCAGGGTCACCTGGTGGCGGTGAGGTGGTGATGGGATGGGAACGACGTCAGTCATGCAAGGAAGCACAGCGATGCCTGGCGACGGAAGACGGATACACGCTGTTGCTGCTCGCCAGGGTCACCTGGTGGCCACCTAGGATAGGTAGATGGGGATAGGGGACAGATGCATGCTCTGTGGTATGCTGAGCGATGCACATGCATGCTCAGCGATGCACATGCATGCTCAGCGACGCACATGCATGCTAAGCGACGCACATGCATGCTAAGCGACACACATGCATGCTAAGCGACACACATGCATGCTCAGCGCTGCCCCTGGAATCATGAGGTGGGAAATGCTATGCCCCTGAGGTGAGTGTTGCGTAAGAAACAACAAGCCAATCATTCCAGGTGGGAGGCGCTGACCTGGAAGTAGTAGGTGAGGCGGTAGTTCTTGTGGCCCTGCGCGTGCTCTGCCTCCACATACACCATCAGCGGCATGCCCTCCACTGGCCGCGCCGCTCCTGACTGCTCGGGGAGAGACAGTGGGGAAGGAGAGTTCGAGAGAGGACGGAGAGGTGACGCATTGATACCTTTGCCTTGAGCAACGCCAGCGTGCACTATCAGAAAAATGTCCTCCACTGGCCAAGCCAAGGCACCACTACCACAACTGACGGGCCAATTTAGTCGCTGACTGATGTGGCTTCTCACAACTAGCGTCATCGAAGCAGAACGGGCGTAGGTGAAGCTAAAAGTAGGCATTCAATAGTCTAGACGTATCAGGGTAAAGGATCAGTGGTAGAAGTATTAGGATGTGTTGAGGTGTCAGACTGCAAGTACCTGTACAAGAGCAGCAGAGCCTTCCGACAGCCACTGGCGCAGAGTGCCTTCCACTGCAGCGATGAACCTGGCCACGCATGGAGAGAGGATGAGGTATGGCGCACAGCGGACAGAGAATGGGGAAAAGCGTACAGCGTAAAGAGTACAGAGAATGCGCGTACAGCGTACAGCATATGGCAGAGGACAAGGTGCAATGACGTGCAAGTAGGCGCGCAAGCACACGGCGCTGTGAGGTGATGAGCGGTGATGCGCCGTGAGCTGAAATGTGCTGGTAGCAAAAAGTGCGAGGACTGTATGCGTGGCACGCACCTCTCCCATGGTGAAGCCAACGTGAAGTCGTCGAACCCATCGATCTGTCGACCACAATTGGACAAGTAAGACACACGTGACCGTGCGCACACACGCACACACAGAGAAGAGAGAGCGAGTAGTTTTTGCAGATGCAATCCGGTTATAATCAGAATGGTTTGGTGAGATTTATTTACATTCTCTCCAATTCATAGAAATTTCCGGAACAGGCAACACGGGTAACGCAGTGCTCCTCTCACGACGCCAGCTTAACAATCTCGAACAAAAATACTAACTAGTTTAATCAAATGCGTCAAACTCTTCTTTCCATGCTCACCTCCTCGTCGAACTCGTCGTCTTCAGACGTGGCAGCTGAGAGCGACCGCTGCATCATCGCCGCCATGATCGGACGATGCTACCTGCAGCCCGCTGACAAGGATAGACACGGAGACGACCGGAGTGCACAATGCGACGTTGTGACCTCCAGACCGCCAAGAGAGATACGCAATGCGATGACCAGGGTAGACAATGTCTAATAATGTCTTACGATTGCGCTTATCATAAACACATCATTACAGGTAGACGACCTAGCACACCTGTTGCAACGAAAAATCTGTGGAAAACCACCTTCTTAACCTAATGCAAATAACAGTAGCTCCAAGATGCATGGGACAAATATGCCCTACCCTATTTTTCCTGCGTCTACCTTTTTTAAGAGAGAGCGATGCTCGATAATGACAAGCGCTTCAAGTTGTGCGAAAATGCGGACTCAGCAAGGTAGCAACAACTCACGTATCTATTTCCAGCCAATCCTTCTGTTGCGGAAATGTACAGCCTCTGATACACACTAAGAGAGCTGTCGGCGTTATCGCGATCTATGCCACGTTCATCTTTTCGCAACGCAATGCCAGGCAAGAAGACAACGCGGAAGCAGCAGCTATTCAGAACGCAGCGGCCGGCCTACTAATTTGAAATCATTTCTAGAGCTCTCATAAGCTAGCATTGCAGAAGAAGTTGCACAAATCAACCCACAATTCCCTCCCAACCACCACACACCATACCGAACCACGCACCAACCACCACACTTTCGGCGACCCCAAAAGGCCTAACCTGGGATGGTCAGTTGGCGGAAGCGAGGGTGGGTGGGAGGAAAGGGCAGTGGTGAGGTTGGGTTGGGCGCCTCAAGGGTCAGCTGCACGAAAGCGGTTCCCCATCAGCTGAATTGATTCTCTGGTTGCTTAGCCTGTTGCAGTGTACATGAACGCTTAGGGCCAAATCTGAAATTGACGTGCCTTTCTCGAGAAATTTAGCATGACAATCGAACCCTCTAACACTCCATTAAATTTAACTTCAAAGGTAGCCCAATTGGCATATGCAGGTACATCTGATTAGACAAATGACCTAATGAAACTGCCTCCTTCTAATCAGAGTGACCTTACCCTGGGGGGCTCCTGCTTTGCAGCTTCGTGCTCTGCAGTCCCACTTCAACATCCTGGTTTGCCAGCTCCCTCTGACTTGACTCTTGAGTACTTAACCTGCCCAAGCGGTAAAAACCTCTTCTATAGAACGACTGTGCGCCAAGGAGCCCATCTCCCTCCGCACCACCCTCTTCATGTGCCTCAGAATCGTGTAGAACCAAAGACGAATCAACATTGGCCTGCACTCCCTGTTCTGGGCTCACAACAACCAGAGGGCAATCCGCACGCATACTGTTGTTACATCGAGCTTGCTTCCCTTCCTGAGCTTCTGCCTCCCTTTTAACTGCACTCTGAGGGTCGTCAGCAATAAGAGCCACCTCAGCAGCAGGCATTTCCCCCCTGAGAAACGCACCGGCAGCACCCATCTCCACCGCACCCGACCTATCTGCACCTCCGCTAGCCACCTGTTCCATCTCAAGCCCCTTGTGCTTGGCTCTCTCCTCCTCCTCGAGCTGCTGCAGAGCCCTCTTGCCATGCACCATGAGCAGCAGCAGCACCACTCCCGCTGCTGCCAGCCCTATCAGCTCGTACACCAGTTCCACTGCTGTGATGTGCCGCTTGTGCGCCTCCGCTAAATCACTTATCAGCCGACCGCTGCAGCACAGGGAGCGGGGCAGGGGGGAGAGGGGGGGGGGGAATGATTGGAAAGGGTTGAGAATATGGTACGCAAAGAGCTGATCTGCCGCCAGCCCAATCAGCTCGTACACCAGCTCCACCGCTGTTATGTGCCATTTGCGCGCCTTCGCCAGATCGCTGATCAGACGACCGCTGCACCGCAGAGGGGAAACGGATGGATTCAGAAGAGCCGAGGGTGAATTATAACAACAGCTGATCGATATCCAGGACTACCAGCTCATGCACCAGCTCAACCACTGTAGATTCAGAGAAACAAACAAAGCAGACTCTGGCTACAAAACAAGGAAGTGTGACAAGAACCATGTCAGGGTGTGTGCGTGTGGCAGACGCACCAGTAGATGGTGAAAAAGGCTTCGGGAATCATGGCAGTCATCGATGCACAGATGTAGGGCGCGTAGCGGATGCGCGTGGCTGTAACAGCGTCTGCAGACCATATCAGGGGGAGCAACAAAGAGATGGTGAGATCTGAAACAACTCAACACGATGCCCACAAGAACAGAAACCTGCCTTCAATGAAACTAACACCCCAACAACCCTGATGCACCCACGAGAGGATGGGTAGAAGTCTGAAAGAAGGAATGCATGCGTACTCACAGTTGAAAAGGAGGAACGGAAACGGGGAGAAGCGCAGCAGCAACGTGACCCGGTACTGGTGCCACCAGCCGCCAGCCTCAGCCAATCGCAGCACAGCAGCGTTCCGTGGGTGCTCAGCCAACCACGCTTGCACACGTGCATGGAACAACCAATGGCCAATGAAATACGGCAGCGATTGACCGATAAAGGAGCCAACCATAATGAGGATGAAACCGCAGGCGTACCCAAAGACAATCCCAATAAGCCACATCGACGGTCCCGTGGGGATGAGAACTACAGGGAAGAGACCCATACTGGCAACGGCTACCACGCCAAGGACTGGGGGACTTAGATTCTTCTGCTCCCATTCTAGCATGGGTATGATGACTTTGGAGAAGAATAAAGGACCCAATACGGCTACGAGACCTCCAACCAACATGAGTAATCCGACAACGGCCGCCACCCAGATGCATCGGCGTGATCTGGACCGTTCGTTCACCATGATAGCCTGTGAATCCATAGCCTCGATCTGGGATAACTTTTCAACCGCGCTTTTCTCTAAACACGGCGACGTCTTAAGATTCGAAGGCGTTCGCGACATTGTTGATGATACCATAGGCTCCACTGTAGACGCTGACGTGGCTAGAGTTTCTCGGGTAAGGAGAGTCGCGATTTCGTGATGGCAGCAGGCGCTGCGTGCTGTTCTACCGTCGCGTGCTCTACAGGGTTCGCAGAGAGTCGCAGATTCGTCCGACTCGCGCACAGTCGCCGTTTGGCATGTTGACTCTCTGTATGAATCCGGAATAACGACGTCCAAAGGCGAAGCTTCGGCGACGAAAGCTCGTTCGACACAACCCACTACTCGCTGTTGACGGTCTCCCATCCTCTCAAATAAAAACCTCTTCCAAGTCCGTGGTTGTGAAGTCGCAAGGAAAAAGCTGGTAGGAAGCACGGAACGTACAATCACGAACGTGTCGCACGGCGTGCTACCGTCGAAACTATCTTGCCAAAAACCAGAGACGGTACTAAGCGTCCTGTCACGACAACAAGAGCCGGTTCCTTGCTCCGCAAATACGAATTCACTGACCGCAAAAGCGAAAGCTATCAGACCAAAGCTCATTCAGATCTCACATTCACTGCAGCGGAGTGGGGCATTGCTGCTGCTATACGGCTTGGTCTCCCAATCCAGCAGCTGCAAGTGGCGGGGAGGTGTGTTTGTGGCACAGCGTATGATGACCCAGCAGACCCGCATCATGCGCTGAGATGCAAGCACCAACACGGTCCATCTCGGGTGCATGATGAGGTGAAGTTTGCGGTGGCAAAGATCGCTAAGGCGTCAGGGGGGGTGGTGACGATGGAGGATAGTGCGGTGCTGCCGGGGAAGCGGGTTGACGTAGCGGTGCGACGACCAATGGCTGGGGAGGCTCATGCTTTAGAGATTAGTGTCGCGGACCCGCTATCACTGTCTCCATCTCTGCTAGGGCAGTGCGGGCGGTCTATAGGCGTGGCGGCAAAGGAGTGGGAGCGTCGCAAAACGGGGGATTACGCGCCTCTTCTTGCATGGAACCGAGGCGTGCAGTTTTTCCCTTTGATAGTGGAGACGTGGGGGTGTCTCGGCGGTCGCTTCCGGCGGTGGCTTCGACAGCAGGGGGACGCGCACGTGGGGCTAGCTGTGTCACGGGGGGCTTGTCGGGAGGATGACACTTCGTTCTCGGCTTACCTTTTGGGGTCTCTGAAGGCGCTCATCGGAGTGGCGTTACAACGGGCGCAAGCTCGTGTCATCCTGCTTCGGGCGGCGTCTTCCATGGGGGGGTTGAATGTGGACTTGGTGGATCGGGAGAGGGACGATGTCGAGGTGGAGGGCGGGCCTCTTTGGGTGGAGGCCCCCTACATGGTGGATGTGCAGATGTGACTTGGGGGGGGAGGGGGGTGTCGAAATAACAGACTGGAATGACTGAACTAACAGGGAAGGCAGTACAAATACAAACCCTAGAATAGTGTACCCCATATAGTCTAGCCCACTGTAGCCTAACAACAACCAACATATATAATGTTTGACACACCCCCATAGGCAAAGTGGGGGAGACCTAGGGGTCACAAGACCAGTCAAAGCAAAGCAAGGCAACAACAAGCTCAGGGTGGATCTCGAGGATTCCACACAAATTCCGAGCACAAGCTAGTGGTCACAAGACCAGTTCACATGCAGGTTTATAACAGAGCAAGAGATACAGTGATCACAACCTAGCAAGAGTAAACATGCAGGTATATATATATATATATATATATATAGTGATCACAGTACAAGCAAAGTCACGAGGTAAGCAAGTGAGGTCCAGTAGGCACAAGGCCTAGCAGAGTGCAGAAGCGCTGATGGTCACGAGGCTGAAGCGCCTTGGTGAACACATCAGCAGTGTTGGCCTCAGTGGCCACGTAGCGAATACAAAGCTGACCACGCTGCTGCAACTCTCGAGCAAGGAAGTACCGCAGGGCGATGTGCTTCGTTCTGTGCTCCAGTCTGTGCTCCTCACACAAGGCAATGGCAGCCTTGTTGTCGACGTACAGCACTGGAGGAGAACGAGGCCGCTCTCCGAGGTCGGTCAGCAGGTAGGTCAGCCAGCGTAGCTCCTGAGCAGCCATGGCTGTGGCGTAGATCTCAGCCTCACAACTGGAGCCGAGAACAGAAGAAGAGCGCGTAGAGCGCCAAGAAACTGAGCCAGAGCCAAGGCTGAAGGTGTAACCCTGAGACGACCGCTGAGTGGCCTGGTCGTCTGCCCAAGAAGCGTCTGAGTGCCCTGTGAGAACAACTCGGTCTCGCCCTCCAAGCACAAGCCCCATGCCCGACGTACTGCACAAGTAGCGCAACACCCTCTTAGCTGCATCCATGTGCTCCTTCTTGTGACGGCCAGGAGCGACATAGCGTGCAAGGATGCTAAGAGGGTATGCAAGGTCAGGTCGAGTGCAGGTCATCAGGTACATGAGGCAGCCCACAAGCTCTGGATACGGGCCACTCGGCTCTACGGACTCATCCGAAGGCAGAGCTGAGAGCGAGTGACCGGTAGGCAGAGGAGTGGACTGAGGCGAGGAGTACGTGAAGCGGAAGTGCTGGAGAACCTGCTGCACCATGTGTGACTGAGTCAGGGTGATGGTGCGCCGTGCTCTGTCCCGGGTGATCCGCAAGCCAAGATAGCTTGTCAGCTCACCCAGGTCTGTGCATGTGTGTCTCCTCTGCAGCTCCGACTTCACGTAGGCGAGTCCTGCAGTGTCAGCAGTGGCAAAGACCAAGTCATCGACGTACACGAGGATGTAGAACGGCGGCAGCGAAGTGTCGGTGCGCAGGAACAGCGACGGGTCAGCTGTAGAAGGCGCGAACCCAAGAGCCGCAAGTGTAGTCCTCAGTGTGTCGTGCCACTCACGCGGAGCCTGGCGGAGACCGTAGACCAGCCGCTGAAGCCTCCACTGGGTACCAGGAGGAAAGGACCCAGTGAAGCCAGGTGGGCGGCGCAGCCAGATCTCCTCGTGCAGGCTGCCCTGCAAGAACGCAGTGCTGAAGTCAAGTGAGTGAAGCTCGTAGTCGCGGTGAGCGGCTATGTGCAGCAGCACCCGAAGAGTAGTCATCTTCGGGGTGGGGGAGAAGGTATGGAAGAAGTCAACTCCCTCTCGCTGACTGAAGCCTCGAGCCACGTAACGCGCCTTGAAGACAGGCGGAGAACCCGGCGGCCGCTTCACCCTGAAAATCCACATGCCACTGACGATGTTCGCCCCAGGAGGGGGAACCTCGTCGACGTAGGTGCGTGTGGACTTCCAGGAAGCCATCTCGGCGTCCATGGCTGTCTGCCACTGAGAGGAGTAGGGACCCGCCATCGCCTCAGCGTAAGTGCGCGGGGTCGGGATGTCTGGTGCATCCGGGTCTCCCTCAGGGGCAACTAGCAAGGACACGAGACGGGGCAAAGCAGCAGCAAGACACTGGAACTCCTCCTGTCTGTCCTCAAGGACGTCCGTGCCAAGAGCACACTCACCCCCGACGGACGGAGGACAGACAGACTCAGACTCAGACTCAGCAACAAGGCTAGCAGCGTAGTCTAGACGACAGGCAGCAGCAAAGTCAACCAACTCAGCGACCAGAGCAGACGCAGTCGAGGACTCAAAGGTAGGGTCAGTGACAACAGTAGCGAGGAGACGCGTGACAGTAGGGTGCTCAGCACGATACCGGTCAGACTCAGGGTCCGGAACGTCAGGTAAAGAGGACGCAGGAGGAGACGGTAGCGGGACACGCTGAGGAGCAGTGGAGGGACGCAGAGTCATGTAGTGAGTGCCAGGGACAGGAGGAGGACGCTCACGACGGACACGACTACCAGTGCGAGCAGTACGAGCAGGCGACGCAGGACGAGACTCAGGCTCACGACGCTCTGTAAGACCTCCTGTGGGACCAGTGTAAGGAGAGGGAGCAGGGAGAGGCGAGGTAGGCGGTAACTGTGACTGCGGCTGGACAGGCGGAGGACACTCTACGGAGGGAGGAGGACAAGGAGGAGGAGCCTGCCTAAGAACCTGCTGAAGGAGCGGTACGAAGTACGGTCGCGGTCGCGCAGCGTCTCCAGAAGCAGAAGAGACTCCAGCGGCCGGGTCCTCAGTACCAGCAGTAGCTCCAGCGTCCGGGTCCACAGCACCAGCAGCAGCTCCACCACTCGGGTCCTCAGCACCAGCAGCAGCGCCACCGCTCGGGTCCTCAGCACCAGCAGCAGCTCCAACGCCCGGGTCCTCAGCACCAGCAGCAGCTCCAACGCCCGGGTCCTCAGCAGTAGCAGCAGCGCCACCGCCCGGGTCCTCAGCTCCAGCAGCAGCTCCAACGTCCGAGTCCTCAGCACCAGCAGCAGCGCCACCCCCAGGGTCCGCAGCACCAGGAGCACCACTCCGAAGACTGCAGCGCCGTGTGTACCACTCGCGGATCTGCTGAATGGGGGGGAGCTCCTGGGTAGGAGGGGAAGTACCGGGACGAGCTCCAGCAGCACCTCTCCGGAGGCGGCAGTACTCGAGGTACCTCTCCTGCAGCTGCTGGGAGGAGAGGGCTCCTCCAGGTGTCGCACGCTCAGGCTCAGCACCCCCAGACTCAGCACCCCCAGACTCAGCACCCCCAGGCTCCGCACCTCCAGGCTCAGCACCCCCAGGCTCTGCACCCCCAGACTCAGCACTCCCAGGCTCAGCACCCCCAGACGCAGCACCCCCAGGCTCAGCACCCCCAGACGCAGCACCCCCAGGCTCAGCACCCCTAGCAGGACGAGAGTCGACAGCTACCTCGACAGGCTCACCCGGGTCTACCTGGGACACACCTGAGGGAGCGGCACCCTGAGGGGGGAGGGGGTCTGGTACCTCAGCACCTGGAGCGAGGAAGAGAGGCGGGGGGGGGGGAGCGGGGCAGTGCGGTAGGGGAAGAGGCGGTAGTAGGGGACGGACTCGTCAAAAGAGACGTCCTGAGAGGCCAGGACACGACGCGAGGTGGGGTGGTAGAACTGCCAGCCAGGGGCG